GGAAGAGCGACCTGCTATCTGCAACAAGCAGAGGTTCTGCAGGCTACAGCCAGCCCTGGTTAGCTGTTCGCCTTTGTTTGCAGACGCCAGGGCCAGCTCCCGCCAAAGGTCAGTGAAATGTTGGCAGAGCGAGGCCCCTAACACAGCCTGGAGCCACGTGCCCTGTGACAAGTGGGGGGAGTGCCTTGTTTTTCCTCCATTTTTAAAATCGGAATCTTACCAAAGCGACGGGTCAAAAGGACTTTGACATTTTCTGGTTAATTTTTAACCTCCAACGATTAAAATATCAATCTCTCCCTCTTATACGGCACCTTTATAAACTCTTACTAGGCAGTAATTTCTCCATATTACAACAAATGACTCAAACCAATGGACAAAAACGAAACATGGTACAGAAAAAGGTTTGACTTTAGAACCACCTTTAAAAGAGCTGCACATCTCCAGCTGTGCCTGTCCAAATACCAAGAGAGAATGTCTTTTACTAAAAGGTTTTCACTCATTTCTTTAGGTCTGGATTTTGGCAAAGTCGTTCCAAACATGTATGCTGGAAATTGAACCTCTATGCAGGTCTCCTTGGCTTTTCGTACAAGACTTAACAACATTTAGCCCCATCATCTCTTTCCCCAAAACATGCTGCTGCCATCATAAGAGGTGATGGTGACGAGTCCGCCTACAGGTGCGAGGTTGACCATCTGGTGACCTGGTGCAGGGAGAACAACCTGGAGCTCAACGCTCTAAAGCTCTAAACAGTGGAGATGGTTGTGGACTTCAGGAAGAACTCACCCCCAGCTATCTCCATCACTCTCTGCGACTCCATTGACTCTGTGGAGTCTTTCCGCTTCCTGGGAACTATCATCTCACGGAGCATAAAGTGGGAGCTGAACATCAACTCTCTCACCAAGAAAGCCCAGCAAAGGATGCATTTCCTGCATCAAATGAAAAAAATTCAACCTCCCAAGGACAATGATGGTGCACTTCTACTCCTCCATCATTGAGTTCATCCTCCATCACCATCTGGTACTCTGGTACCACCGCCAAGGACAAGGGCAGACTGCAGCATGTCATCCGGTCTGCAAAGAAGGTGATTGGCTGCAATCTTCCATCATTCCAGGATCTGTACGCCTCCAGGACTCTGAGGCATGCAGGGAAGATTATGGCTAATCCCTCGAACCCCAGCCACAAACTATTTCAGTCACTTCCCTCTAGCAGGAGGTTGTGGACCAAAACCTCACGGCACAAGAACAGTTTCTTCCCATCCGCTACCAGCCTAATCAACAAGGCCCAGAGACCTCCATGACACTGTCACTGCCTCCCTCCCACATTCAGGACCTACAAGCTACACCAACATAGCATCTCCAGACCTCCTGCATTACATTAACGCACAATCTACTGTGTATATAGTATATAGCTATAGATTCTGTATTCCTTATAAGTGCAAACCTACTTGGCAATAAAGTTGAGTTTGATATTTTGGATGTAGACAAATGTTTTGGTGTCATTCCATCAGAGAAACCTTAAATAGTTCCACCATTTTTTTTTCTTTTCAGTGACAAGCTGGGAAAAAGTTCAAAGGATTTGCTTAGTTTCATAAGGCCCAGTCTCAGGTTCGGACCACGCCGTCCTCCTTATAGCTGCACCTCTGGCTGCAACACAATCTGAGTAACGTTACACCGACCACCGCCGGCACCTCTAGCCTCATGGTCTGAGCTTTTGTGAGGGGTGTGGGTCTGAATGAGGGGACTGATGCTGAGTGAAAAACATGAGCAGCTTTCAGGACACATCACCCATGTAAGAACCGTTGTTCTAATCTTATCAGCCACATTCCAGTGAAGCAAAGAATGCTAAGAAAGCCAGAAAATATTTTAGCCTCAAGACGGAAATGATGAAAGTAAAATGTAGAAATGCTTTTAGGGCCATTTCAGCATGCGGTCTACTGCCGTAACAGAATCTTAAACCCATTTCTGGTCTTTTTATGACAGAGCTGTTGAATATGATCGCGCTTCTATGCGTTTCCTCAGCTGCGGTAATCTTGTTGGGGTGAAACCCACAAACGAAACAAGAAAATTTACTTTTTTTTTATTTTACATTACCAGTCATAACTAAAGTCACTTTCTGGAAGTAGTGCAGGAAACAGACAGAGCTAACAGCCCCCGGAGGAACGCCCCCAGAGTTTTCCAGATGTGTTTTGGACACTTTTTACATCAGCCCTCTCCCGCTTCTCTAAGACAAAGAGGGAAATCAGACACGGACATGTCTCTTGCAAAACAAAAAAGAAAAGAAGCCTAAGTTGCTTACTTGAGGAGGGAGCATGCAGACGGCTAGTGGTCATTTTCAGCCCATTAACGGCACTGTAAGCGAATGGGCCATCTCCATGCCCAGAATAATGTGCTTCTAGTCTACTGCTTGCTGATGCAAATCAAGCGTCCCTTCAGGACGCAGACGGTCTATTATAACGTCACTGTGGGGAATAAAAGCCGGGCCAAGTGGTTGTTCAGTGGCTTTTTTCCTGGAAGAAGAGTGGCATTTGTGTTGTTAAGCTATAAATTAAAAAGCTTAAAGTAAGAGATTACTAAAACATGTCAACAGATTGTAGAAAATAAAAGTCACCAGGCCAGCTTTGGTCTTACACAGAAACACATGTCGAATAAACAAATAAGAGGCAAAACAGATGTAAATGAGGTAGGGTGGCTACGAAAAGACAGGGTGTTGGTTAATCTAGAAAAAGCAAAACAAAATTTAAAAAAGGGTAAAGTTCTTAACCCACAAAACTCCCCCCCTTCTGCAGCCACTTTCTCCAAACACTTCTTTATTTCTCTGTATATTTTCTGAATGGATCAACAGTGCACTGCCGCTGTAAGTGGTGTTACACCTCACAGCCAACAAGCGAGGCTCTGTAGCAGCTTCCTTATGGAAGATTTATCTAAAACACAGCGTGCAGTTTTATTTGTACCCTTTGAAAACTTCTGGTAAAGACCAGAATTTGTCAATCTGCTTCAATTTGGTGGATGACACATTTAAATTGGGTGTAGGGTGCAAACCCAGTGGCTCAGACAAACTCTATCGGTCTCCGCCAGTCACGTGACATTTGTTGCTAAGACGCCATTTTAGGTGGAAAAGGCGTAGTGTACCGCGCCAGAGGTAAACAATTGACGTCACTTGGCGGAGACCGATAGTCATCTTGTATACACAATGAAATTTCAATGCATACAGCTTACAACAGAGGAACAAACATTACCGTTTATAAAGAGCATCGGTGATCATGAATGTAGACAGTGTGGAAAACCAGTTTAAATGGTCCAAAAGGCATTGATATGGAAAGATTCAGTGCAGTTAAATAAATATGTTGCAAATGCAGTAGAAGATTGAGTTGTGTTCTATTTTAAGGGATTTAACGAAAAAAATCAGCCATGTTGGTAGTGCAAATATGATGTTTTAAAGTGTGATGCAGTAAAGGCTGGATTATAGTTCTGCATCCGCACACATCAAATGTCACTTGCGTCTGGTTGCGAACCAGTTTCGCTGGTATGCTTCGGTCTGGAATTACTAGGGACGCACAGCAGTTTGCCGCCAAAGCGCAAGCCTATACGAGAACTCATGAGAACTTCTTCGGCGGCGCCGGCGGGAGTATTTATTTTCGAAAACAAGATGTCTCAGGCATCGTACAAGTGGCTGTACTTCCAAACCTCTTTGATCAAGCTTTCGTCGTGGTTATCCATTGTTGTTATTAGTCCTCGGTTTTTAAAAATGGCGGCACACCAGCGCCGAATCGAGAAGGACGACCACACAGACCAATCACAGCTGCCTTTTGTCTGCGCACTTCCGCTTGAGGTCTGCGACCTTCTGATGCGTAGCCAGGTTTTTTTTTAGACAGATTTGATGGCTGCAGAGACTATGCCTCAGAGGCTTGTTGTTTTTTTTCTTCCCATAACAGAGGTGGGTGGTTTTCCACACCTCTCAGTGAATTTATTCTTATTATATAATAGAAGTGTTGACTAAATGAAAATAAAAATAACCTGGACACCATAGCTTTTTTCCAGCCTTGTAGCGCTCGCTTTGCCATGCCGCCCTGGGTAGAAAGTCATATACAGACTAAATGGGTGAGTAAGGTTAAAGCAGGGTCACTAGACAGTATATAAGACACTTCAAAGACAAGTGGAAAAAAATAGGCATTTAGGTGATAAATAAATGCATTTGGTTTTGGCACTTATGTTGCAGTCTAATATGAGAGCTGGGCTGTGTTCAGCCACTGATCACACTGGCTGCATGTCATCTGACGTCACCAAACAAAGAGGATTAAAACTTCCTTCGTGAGCTGCCTGCGCAGGAATACTAGTTCATCATTACCTGCACATAACCCCCCCCAAAAAAATTTGCAAAGTTATTTGCCAGCATTTATATCTTATTGTTTTCACCTAAACCTCAAACATTAGCTCGACAGTGTCCTCGGTTAATACAGCCTCCAGGTATCAGGGTGGAGACATCTTTCCTTTTTTATTTAGCTGGAAACAGACTCAGTGGGAGGGTCTTATTTATCCACATTTACTCCCAGATGACTACAGCTGCGCTTTTTGGGAATAAAAATCGATAAATGCCCCGAAAAACAATGAGCTCATGTAGATTTGTCACTCCCTTGAAGAGAGAAGGGTCGTTTCCGAGTCCCCCACAAACGCAGCACGGCCCTTCTCCCAGAGAAGGGGATTGTTCAATGGCCGCAGATGGGGCACCCAGGAGCCCTCTCAATTAAACACCCAAATACAGCGAACAGCCAGAAAACAGACAATTACGCAGACTTACGTGTTTTTTAAAGTGTTTTTTTGTAAGTCAGCGAGCTACTTCTCTTTTCTTTTCCCGAGGTCAGTTTGGGATGGGCGGACAATGAAGATATACAAATAGATTAAAGCGATATTTATGGGATTTTATCAGTACTAGTTGCTATTAGAAGATATTAAACAATTTAATCTACCAATATGTCCGGGTATAGAATAAAAAAATCTACTTACGGTGAAATAGGATTCACAAAGAGATCCCCCCTTTTTCTCCTCCTTGTTGTCCAAGATGATGAATATCCCTGCCCTCAGTAAGGGGGGACAAACAGAGGAGGGGAACTCCAGTTAAGATGGAGATAGTTTAAGTTTTTTAAATATAAATGTAATTCAAACTGTCCGCTGTCCTCATGTTTTCACTCGCGATCCATGAATCTGCTCCCATTCTTCTCTCCCGCAGCTGCTGGGGAGACACGCTGCGCGTCTCCGCCGTTTCCTGTCCAGTTCAGGAACACTCGGACGCTGCCTTCAGGGACCGTCGGAAGAGGAGGGGCAGACGGCTAAAACATGATGCAGGGTCTTTATGAAGTTTGGACACGGAGTTTAAATTCTTTCCACATCCTTTGAAGTTTTTTTTTTTATGAATGAAATTCATAATATATACATAATATATTTATATAAAAAAAAATAGCACTGTAAATATACAGTCATGTGTTTATATTACAATTTTTTTTATGTATTTATTACTGTTTTCAAGGCTGCACTTTAAAATATGAAATTGTCTAGAGCTGTTCTAAACGAAATTTCTTTTTGTTTACGCTTGTGTATACAAAATGACAAAATAAATCTGTCTAAGTCTGTTAATTTAATATTTATTCTCACCCATATGCTTCAATCGCTTTCTGTAGAAATCGAACTGCCATCGTGGGGGTGATTTAAAGCAGGGATCAATAATAATAATAAAATACCCCAATATTTGATCATCTTACATGATTATGTCTCATTATAAATATAATACATCCATTAAAAAAAAAAAAAAAAAACAACGAATGTCTACTTAAATTCACATGCCAGCAAGGAGCGAGATAAAAAACAAAAGCAAAAGCAGAGAGAAGGCCCTAGGTCCTAGGAGCTGCAGAGATGGAAGGACAACCTTTTAATAACACACTTAACAAATATGGTCTTAGGAGAGGGGTGCTAATAATTAAACTATCATTGAAGAATATGCTGGTGAAGGTTCTCAGTCATCCAGGTCATAGTCGTTCCAAAAAAGTTAAAAGCAATCCACTGGACTTGGTTTCCGAGTTTGAAGACGTTTCGCTTCCCTTCCAGGAAGCTTTTTCAATTCAAAATGTCAGGAATAGTGTTGAGTTTGAGGTTTTGTACAGTAGCCCAATAAAGCATTGTTTTTGTTTAGAAAACATGCAAATTGGAACAGATGAGGGGTCCACCCCTTTGGAATGGGGATCGTTTGGCTTCTATTGTTGGACTGCATTTACCCCATTACCCATCTAAGTGTCTTAAAGGTTTATTTTTTTTCAATATCATTAAAGAAAAGCAGAGGAGGGTGTATAATACTGTCCTTGTAGTAAATTACATATACGATCTAAATAAAACAAGTTTCCAAAGCAGCTTTCAGTAAGTTTTATATAAAAGTTAACTATACTGGATCCTGACAACACAGACTCCTCTACTTACCATATAATTTTCTCTTTATTCTTTTCTCTTTTATTCTATTCTCTTTATTATTATTTTAGGGTTAGGAATATTAAACATTCATTAAAAATTGTAGGAGTAATTAAACTTTTTAATATAATAAAATAGTGCATCTAGATACTAATATGACATTTAAGCAGACTGAAAAAAATTGAGCCCACTTTAAATTTGTTTTTCAAGATAGAGGAAATTATAAGAAGTTTGAAAACTGCTGGTAGAGATTAAGACATAATCCTGTGTTCGAATGGCAGAGTCAAAGTCCTGACCTAAATCCATTGGAGTATTTGTGACAAATCATGAAAACGTATAGTTCTTCTCATCCAGTATGACAGGTCTTAAGGCAGATTGCAAAATAAACAATAATAATAACAGTAACAAGAGAAATAAACAGCATCAATCTTCCCTCCATTAAAGACATTTCACCCCAGCGCTGCGTCCTGAGCCTGTGACATCATCAGCGACCCGCACACCCCCACCATGGGCTGTTCTCCCTGCAGAACTCTGGGAAAAGACTTTGCATGTTCTGCAACAGCTTTTCCCTGCTGCCATCATGATGCTGAACTGTTGAAACTCTAATCAAGACTCTGCATCACACTTTTAAACATCATATTTGTACCACATGGCAGATCTTTTCATAATCCCTTTAAATATAACTCAACTTAATGTGTCTACTGCATTTGGACCCTATTTATTTATTTATTTTGCGCTGAACCTTTCCATGCCAATTACTTTTGAACCATGTCTTTAAACTGGTTTCCCTTTTCTCCTACACTGTTTACATTCTGATCACTGCTGCACTTTATAAATGGAAATGTTCATTTCACTGTTGCAAGCTGCTAATTGACTGTTGAAAAGCTGTATGCATCGAAAATGACAATAAAGTTTGACTAAGTGTAAACACTCAATAAAGGAAGGCTCTGGTTTCATTTAGAAAAAGCCTAAAAAAAATAAACTAATGTTTGTGTTTGTAACATAACAAGGAGTGAAGGATCAGGAACTTTTAAACGGTATATTAGATGGGGATCAAAGTATAGAAAAATTACACACTTTCTTTCACAGTTTTTTAATATTACAATAAAATATAAAAACAGTAAATGTAAAGAAACTAAATAAGTTTATGATAAATGCCCTGGCTTGGACGTAAACACTCCTTTCAGCATTTAAAGCCCTATTAACCTTTATAGAAACCTGTTCATAGAATCACTGCTAGTTTTATGCACAGTTAAATAAATTATTCAGTTATCAGATTAAGTGGAAATCACTTTTTTTGCACATAGAATATAGAATGAACCCTTTTCACTGGTGCTGCCACCCCCAGACTTTAGGTGTATGTTGCAGATTAGGAGATTATTGTTATCCATACAGACATATGGCATTACTGACCTCTACTAGCCCTCTATCCCCCAATCCCTGCTTATTAGTCCTACGCTACTCTTACTGTTAAATAAATCTTTTTTTTTCTTTCCATTATGGCTTTTAACATTTGACAAAATAACTTAACATTTTAAGGAAACAAATGTAGAGTTTTTTTCTGTTCTTTTGGACTAACTGATAAATAAAAACCAACACCAGAATAATCACAAGGTGATTTGCTGCCATCTAGTGGCCTTAGGTGAGTAATTCTTCATTCCTTTTTACAAATTTACCATGTCAGCTCCTTCCTATGCCTGGTCTGGTCTGAGAATGCTTTGCTTGTACATGCTCTTTAGATAATGACTCATTCTACCTAGACAGCTCCTTAATCATTTCTCATAAATATATTTTTCTATGCCTGTCAGCGTTTCATGAAATCACACTATGGAGGTCACACATCTTAGTTAAGTGTCTTGTTGTTGCCAACCAGAATCAGATAATCAAATTATATCGAGAATCTTAATTGTCATTATGAAACCATAGTTTCTTCTGGATTAGAAGGCAGAAAAATAAAAAATTAAAACAATTGTAGAAAATGTAAAGGCACCACAGTTCAGCTTGTGGAATGGGTTTGATTGTCACTCCAACTAGTACATGAGGTCACTGCACTTTTGTGTTCAGTTGTGTAAATATATAAATGTACTTTAGAAAAAGCAAACAGAAGTTTGGACCAATTGCACAATGTTGAATTAGGTAAAGAGCAATGTAACATTATGACCTCTTCGGTCAAATCAAAAGTAATTTCAAATAATTTATTTCCTGCATTTATCTAAAAAATGTATTTGTGGGTTAACAAGCAGTTAATGCTGTGTAAATCATGCCGGTCTTGCCAAACTCGTAAGAAAGCAGGTATTGACATCCTTGTTTTAAAGGACTAGATTCTGAAGTTGCTATACAGTGACCAACACTGAATAGCAAAAAAAAAAAAAAAAAAAAAAAAAAAAATAAATAAATATATATATCAATTTGCTGTTTCATTCCACAGCTGTGTATGACCAAGCTGTTGACCAGCAAGAGGAAGAAGAGTCAGGTTTTTCTAATCATGTGCAGTTTCCCTTCCTCCTGGCAGGTGTTTATACCCTATAATCCTCATTACGCCCCTAAAATATTTCTGCTTTTTTTTTTTTTTTTTACTTACATTTTGAATATTTTCAAAGCCACCATACTCAGTTACATATTTAATTCAATCTGAGTCTGTTATTCAGGCTCTAATCAACGTTGCATTTCCAGAATCAGAACGAAACGAGGAGAAGCAGCTTTTAGTTCAAATGCTTCATGAAGATGATGCTTGTTGGCAGTGTGCGAAATACCTGTCAATATTTGGGGCGTCTCCGTCTCCCAATTGTTAAGATCTAAATTTTCTCAATATGCAGTAGGTCTATAACATTGCAAAGTCATAGTCAGCTTTAATGTCAATTCTTCACATTCAGCAGACATACAAGGACTCGAGAGGACGTCCGTTTCTCATTCACCAACAGTAAAACAGATAAAGTGCACAGGCACAACAGATAAGATCAGTTCCTAATACTAAAATTTAAACATTCAATTTAACAATAAAATATAAAATGTACAATAATATAAAATATACAATACATCTGCTAGTGCAAAAAGGCAGATGGTAATGGCAGCATAAAAAATATCATTATTATTTTTTTACCAATTATGTAAAATATATCTGTAACAGTAACAGTGCAAAAGAACAGTAAATAAATATAGTAATAATAGTGCAGGAGACAGTTTGTCCGCAGTGATTTTTTTTTTGAGGGGGGGTCAGCTTCCTGACAGCCTGGAGGATGTGGCTGTGGGGAGAGAGTTTAGCTTCCTGACAGCTTGGTGGATGAAATTTTCTGTGAATCTGAGTGGGCAAGATTTAGACTATGAAAACACACACACGCACAAACAAAGATATATATATATATATACAGTATATATATATATATATATATATATATATATATATATATATATATATATATATTCCTCTTCTGGGCAGGAGCTTGACAATAAAAGGTGAATGATATAAAAGTTATTTGAGTAATTATACAAAACAAACTTAGTTGAAATCCTCATACAAACTATGAAATAAATCAAAGAGATGTGAATCAATGGCAATCATTTCTTTTTTCACTAGTATTTCAATATTTTTAAAAGAAAAAATAATATGAAACAGAACAATTTACAAATAACAGGTGGTCAGTAATCATTAATATAAATTGTACATTTATTTCCAAAGATGGTCATATTTTGCTTGTTGCAACCTTATTTTAAAAGTGACTCTTTAAAAGCTGTGAATTTGCTCTACAATGTCCATCTAGTTTGTGACTGTTGAGGGTTCTGGTTTGAACTCAACTGTATTTTAATTAAAGATCCATCTGAATCTCTTGTCCCTTTACATAACTTAAATATAATTACAGTATTGTTCTTGGGGTGCTGTACACCAGTATCTTATTAATTTCTTTGGCAACATCTTCCCAAAATTGGGACAAATTGCAGCACTGCCAGAAGATACATGCATGACCCACATTCTGTTCTCCACAGTCTCCAGCAGGGTTGCTTTAAGGACAACAATGCTTTTTTATTTTTGAAGTAATAAAAACCAGACTACTATTTTCTAATTCCTAGAACTAGCAAAATAAAATGGAACTTTATTGATCTCACAATAGAAAAACTCTCTGCATTTAACCAAACCCCTTTTGGGGAGCAGTGGGCCGCCAGAGTGGCCAGAGTGGCAGTCTGTGGGAGTGGGTTTCGAACTCGCAACCTCAGGAGTCCTATGCCTAACCACGAGGCCGCCACTCCCACACTAGATCTAGTAGAGGTAACCTGCGATTTACAGATAGTACCACATGTTGGTGAAGATTCTAAGTCATCCAGGTCATAGTTATAGTTAGTTAAAAACCCACTAGACTTTGTTTTCCACATTTGAAGACATTTTGCTTCCCATCCAGGAAGCTTTCTAAGTTCAAAATGTCTGGGGTAGGGTTTCAGTTCCAGGCTTATAGAGTGGCACAAACAAAAGCCTTATCATTGCTTTTTAACCTTTTTTTTTTTTACTTTTTTATCTTTATACCACATGTCATCACTTATGTCTTCCTGTAGTTCCCTCACCCATTTGTCCCTAATATAATGGCAATAACTTAATAAAGTAAAAATGTGATTGGAATGTGATTTAAAGTAACTCAGCTCTTTGATTTGATTGAATTTATGATGTTTTGAGGGATGGGCGCTTCAGCCTAATACCTTTTCAAACATTTATATAGTGTGAGTTTGTTTTGGGTTTTTTTCTCAATGTTTAGAATTGTCTGAATACATTTTATTTAAATTTGTATTACGGTATTTATTTTATTCAAATATATGCGTTGCCTCTTAGATACTGCAATTTACTTTTCTTTTTCTCATGTTCAGTTATTTAAATTGTCTTGCCACTGAAATTATTTATATAATAAACATGCCTTGCCTTTAGTCCTAAATATTTCTACTAGTCACTGCTGAGAAACCTAAACTTCCCTGCAGTATAAAAGATTCAGTATATTTCATCACAATGGAATTTTGTATAACTACAAAAGGGAGTGATGTTCAATGTTTTTAACGCCTTACAGCCTCAGGATTCTGTCATATGTCTGTTTTAAACAGCCAAAATGGTGTTGCGTCATGAAGGTTCCACACGAAAGCTTTTCGCTCTTTAATTTTATGCTAAAATTCTTGCCATATTCATTAATAACTCATATTTATTAAATGTTAGCTGTGAAATAATCAGAGAAAAACAATTTTATTGGTTCAACCTCAAGCAAATATATTATTTCAGTTCATGTTGATCATAAATTAACATTTATTACAATGTTATCTAAATTCTAATAAATGTTAACTGGGCATTAAAAAAATGTTAGAATTCTAATATTAATTAGACATTACATATGTTAACTTTACATCAAAAATGCTAGTTTTCCACCACTGATAAATGTTATGAATGTTAAGCAATTTTATTGGATATAACAAGCATTAATTAAGCCTTAACAAAATCACTTTGATTTTATGTTAAAATTCTTGCCATATGGGTTTATAACTCATATTAATTTAATTCTAGCTGTGAAATATTCTGAGAAAATAAAATTTATTGGTTCAACCTCATGCAAATATATTATTTCAGTTCATGTTGAGTATAAATTAACATTTATTACAATGTTATCCAAATTCTAATAAATGTTAACTGGGCATTAAAAAATGTTAGAATACTAATATTAATTAGACATTACATATGTTAACTTTAAATAAAAAATGCTAGTTTTTGACCACTGATAAATGTTATGAATGTTAAGCGATTTTATTGGATATAACAAGGATATCTCTTTGATTTTATGTTAAAATTCTTGCCATATGTGTTTATAACTTATATTAATTTAATGTTAGCTGTGAAATAATCAGAGAAAAGCAACTTTATGGGTTCAACCTAAAGCAAATATACTATTTCATGAAATTTGCATAGAGGACATCTGATGTGTCATTCATTACCTGTTGTAATTGTGTGCTCACCATGCATCTTTTATATCTGCCATATGTACACACAGAATTGAATTCTTGCTAACAAACTGTAAGCAAAAGCAGGTTACAAACTCTGGGAGACAACGGAAACTTTGAAAGAGTAGGCGTTTTCTGCCACAGGATGTTTTCTCTGAAAAGAGAGAGAGAGTGTGAGCTTTAGTTACTGTAGCTCTGTGGGTGAGGTTCACCTGGGGATAAAGCGTGGATCTGATGTATTAACATGAAAAGAACACGTGCGTGGAAGCAGGGTTGACTACATCGGGGAGACAGATCAGATTCCTCTGCAGCATACGGCTTTATGCTGCTCATCAGAGGAGTTTGGAGTTTGTAGGAGATTTGGGATTATCCGTCTGCTGGAAGCAAGTTCACCCAATCTGTGCAGAAGACGGAGCTATGATGGGAGTTTTCTGGTTGTTGATAATCCTACTTTGCTGCACATCACCCAACAGATGTGATGGTAAGTTAAAAAATACAATATAGGAGCAAAAACACTTATGGCAAAGGTTACAGCAAGGACGGAATAATTATCTACTTTAGTTCAGCAATTCTATAATGTATGTATGTTGAAAATACAAAAATGTAGTAAAAGTTTGAGTAATCTCTTTATGCATGCTTTCTCACGATGAGGCAGAACTATTTAGAAGCAAATCATGCAAAAAATAAAGCTATAAACAGTTGTGTAGCAGCACATAGTTCTGTTTGACATCAATAGACTCTATATGTCACACTGGCTGACTCACATGTACCATTCGCTTGAAAACTTGTATTTTCACCATCTCTGAAAGAGCTAAAAGTGCTTAAAGAGGCTGATATGAAGCAAATTCCACTGTGGGCGTCAAGTTCCAATGAAAGTATGATTTATACACTGGCAGATTTAAGAAAACATCAATGTTTGGAGCACTTTTCTTTGCAAAACTCTTTTGGATATGATTAAAGCTTGCATCTTGCAAAACATACCCTTTAAGGGATTTTTCATTTTTAAGTATTAATCCAAGAAGTGCTAAAAACTGTCTTTTTAATCACCTCCACAGTTTTATCTCCAGAGCAACCATGGGACATTCACTGCAGAACAGCAGAAAAGACTAATTCTTTGTCTGTGCCGTGCCCTAAGATCAAGCCTGAAAACCTCATCATGGACCACAAAACAGACATTACTATCACTCTTTACAGAAACCGGATAGAAATTTATAAAATATGCACAGAGCCTTCCAAAAAAAACCAAACCATAAAGCAGCACGGTGTCACCCCACAGAAAGAACATGGTAAATTTACAGGTTTCATCATTAAATTAGAAGGTAACATAGAGCAAGCAGTCTACACATGCCAGGTTGAGAAGTCTTACCCTCCTCCTTTCGTGACCAGTGAAGGCAAATTAGTCGTGGTCCTTGATGAAGGTAAATATATCAAAAATTTAAGGTGAAACCCATCTTGATATTTAATGTGCAAACAGGAATAACTAAAAATAATATCTTTAACATGTGCTTTTCTCGGGACAAGGATGTGCAAACAAAACAGGAACATGTAAGAAAGACGACTCAGAGCCACGAACACCACAGAGACCCATATGGATCTGGATCCTGGTTGTTGCACTTCTTTGCACCTACAGCCTGGCGGTGACCATCGCTGCCTTGGTTATCTGGGTAAGACATTCCTGCACGTCACCATTACAGGAGGAACACTCAGTCGTTCAATATTCTGCCTTGTATGTTGTTGCTTTTAAAAAGACATAACTAAAACTCAATATAGCTCTTCAAAATACCTGTAACTACGTCAAATAAATTCAGCCTCTGTTGTGATAGGAAAGAAAAACATGAACGACGGATTTAAAAGTTAAACAAACTGTAAGTCATCATATGTTAAAGGTATAGTGGAGGATGTTCTTTTTCTGGGTGGATCATCTAAATAAGTGGTCCTCCTAATTGTCAACCATTCAGGTGATCTGCTTACATAGGGCCGTCCTACGTGCTCGTCCCCATTTTCACTCACTGGTGGTGAGTCTGACGTAGTGGAAAAATTGCAAACCTTCTTTTGGAAAGTAAGCTTTTATGAGCAATGCAACAAATAGAGTGCGCACGAGGAGAAATTGGCTCGTGCACGCTCGTGCACACGTTTAATAGGTGCTCCCTCTCAGGAGTGGGTACAGGGATTTGCATGTGCATTTTTTTTTTTAAGTGGAGCGGGCGGGTCTTTTCAAAAATTGCCGGAAAATCTTCCACTATACCTTTTAGTATATTTCAATTTATGTTATCCAAACTGTAATATATGTTAACTGGGCATTAAAGAATATTAGAATACTAATAAGTAGACATTACATATGTTAACTTTATATTAATAATGCTAGTTTTTGAGCACTGATAAATGCTTTGGGTGTTAAGCAATTTTAAATGTATGTTTTGGGCTCATTAGCTGTTTATTGAATATAACAAGCATTGATTAATCCAAAATAAATCAGTAAGCATTAATAAGTGTTAATTAGTGTCTTCAATAAAGTGTATTTAAGCCTAATTTGAGTAGATAAGTAAGATGATTTGCCAATTGAATGAGTATATTTACTCTTAAACTAATTATATAATATACACTTGAAATAAGACACTGAAATATATTTTTTTCTTATTCTAAATATAAATTGTCTTGTTCCATTGGCAAAATGTCTCACTTACCTCCTCAATTTAAGAAAAAAATGCACCTTTTCGAAGAAAATATTACTCATATAGATTTACATTTTTTGTAGCGCACAAACCAATAGCGGGGTTAGAAAAATATTTCCTGGCACGCAACACATGGTTACAGTCATTATCTTTGCAAAAAGTGCAAATTATACACTCAGCAATTTCTGTATATGATGACATGCCTAAAAAGAGTGTTTTTTGATAGGCCACTGAATACCGATGCATAGAAATATGAATAATCAAATCAGGAACCACTTAAACCACTGATCCACACCCACGTTTTTATTAATATGTAAACACAGACCGATTAGTGCCACCAGGTCTATCTTAATGGTTAGAAGGACAACGTTGACGGATTGAGTTTTTCCTCTCTGTGTGTTATATAAGCTTGGTTTTTGGAGAGGTTGCAGATTGCAGCGGGTTGATGGTAATGATAAGACAACAAACACTGAGAGAATCAAGTGAAAATCGCATCAGCTAGTCAGGAAATAAATATTCAACTTATTTTTTTTAGTTTCAAATAGAAGATTTATTTTGAGAAAATGTATAAATTGTTCTAGAAATGTATGTCTATGGAAACACGGAGGCTTATGAATGCAACATTCACTAAATTACAATTATTTAGACCCAGACGCCTTCAAAATATATATATTTGCTTTTTCCTAGCAGGCAGACACATTGGACAACCAAATTTATGCTGTTATTACCATTTTATGTCAGCATTGCATTTTGCACATGCAAACGCTGAGCAATTGCCTATTATATGACATCAATGTGTGCCTCACCTGCACGTTGTGTGCCTAAACCTAATGATTAGCAGAATATCAAATCCCTACTGTATGGCAAAATCAGCTTTTCACAAAGATGGTTTAAAGATATGAAAAACTCACATCACTCCTCAGGAAATGTATCACCAGTTAGTTTATAACTTTAACAACTTAACAGAGGTAAATTTGATGGAGTAGCACTTGCAAAGAAACACTACATATTCATGTCATTATATTATTTTATTGTATAAACTAACACTTAATTATGTAGCATTGGTGCATTTCACATAAGGCATGCATTGCTCTAAATATGTGCACTATGTAGCATTTTATTTAATAATGCTAATGTAAACCATAATTACCAATAGTGTCAATAACTCTAAAGTTTATGAAATAGTGATTTCGGAAAAAAGGTGCAAGAATGATGTATTCATTTAAAGACATTTTTTTAACCTTTTTTGAGGCTTCTATCTTGTACAATTACACTTAAGAAAAAAATAACCCCCTAAAAACTAAATTTTCAGTTATAGTGTAAATAGGCCTGATATAAAGTTCAAATCAAATGTCTTGCAGGATATCATATTTGCAATCTTTCAGTTTTGTGCTGCATTAAAACAAATATAATACAGCTGTGGAGAGCCTGACTTCTGACATGTTGTTTAAAGAATTAACTAACCCTCACAGTCCATGCAGTATTCTCTACACACAGATGGCACACAGCAATGTTGCTGTAATTATAGCTATATGGTGCATATCTATTCTGGCAAAAGAAAAAGACAACAATTCAAATGGTAGTTACAGCACCATAACAGCTGTCTTTACCTAAGATAAATGTACGTTTTAAAAAATACTGACTTCAACTTAAGAACATCTAAATTCTGAAATTGTCTGCCAAGAGTCTAGAACTACCCAAAAGAAACTCTATAGGATCAACTGAAGGAGGCAGAGGGCAGGAGACATTATGGTAGTTAGATAAATTTGGATATTTGTAAGGTATCACCATATGATAGAGCTTGGAATCCTGAGGTTCTGAGTTCAAGCCCCACTGCCACAGACTGCCACTCTGGGTCTCTGAGCAAGACCCTTAACGCCACCCTGCTCCCCAGGCGCCTCACAATGGCAGCCCACTGCTCACCAAGGGGATGGGTTAAATGGAGAGGTAAATTCAATTATTTTATGTTATCAAAAAAGAAGAGTGAAGGATCTTTTAAGTGTAAAAGCTGTTTTGATTAGTGTAAAAAAAAAAAACTTTTTTTAAGAGTTGAACTACTTTTGTCGGTTAATCCTGAAAAATTAACTTAAATATAGCAACAATTATTTAAATCAGCTCAGAAAACTAAGGTAGTAATCTTTAACATTATCTAGTGAGTTCTTTTAAGTTGTTGGTTATTTCAAAAGGTGAAAATTCAACTAAATTTTGGGTTTTTGTTGTGAAATACTGCAAAACCAACTTTTGAAGTTGGCTTTTGAGTGAAGTGTCTCAATATTATTTTAATGTTAAATTTTAACAATATAAATTGAGGCTAAAGCAATGCTGCTAATCAATATAACATTGTATTTTCTGTACATTGAGAATGAATCCTTATTTAATTCTTATTTGAGTTGAAAGTGGTCCTGTAGTTAAGTTACAGTTGAGGGGCTTAATGATTAGGGAGCACAATATTTATGTCTTGGAGAATTAAAAATCAGACTGTTACTGAAACAAAAAAAAGATGACATAAAATGTAGATGACAAATTTTCTCCATTTAGAAAGAAAAGTATGATTTTTAAGTAAGAGAAAAAAATTAGCATCTAAAGCTGCAATAACAGAATTCAATGTTTGGTGAACTTAAAAGTAATACTTAAATGATTAATTCCTAAAGTTACAAATTTGCTGAAGTTTGTTGCCTTAACATTTTAAAGTCTGTCAACTTTTAATTTTTTTGCAGTGTAGGTAACATTTAAGAGTGTCATAATGCATTTGTAACCTTTTAATATGCTTTTTTTCTTAGTAGAATTGTACAGTACAATGAAAAAAAAAAGTTTTAAATATGTTAAAGAAATAATTTTTTGGCTACAGAAACATTTGACAGGACTGTGTACATTTTTGAGACACTTTATCTAATTGTAATTCAGGTGTATCTACCTACCTGAAGTATTTCATGCACCTTTTTCTTTAGATATTTTCTACACAGTAAAATCCATAGTGTTAAAGTACACTGACTGTTTTAGAGTTATTAAAACAACTGGAGTAAAATATACACTATGTAGAGTTATTATTTTCAATAACCTTTTTGCTGCTGTAAACACCTGAATTTCCCCATTGTGGGACAATAGAGGGATTTTCTATTCTATTCTTCTATTCTAATTTAATACTAATTCTGAATGGGACCAAATGTACTTGGATTGGTGTTAAATTTAACACTAAAAAGTTTAATGTGCTTTAAGTGGGCATCAGGCTCCTCTCCTGTGGAAATAACTACCAGTTTTAGTCCGTGAGGCAGACACCCTGTCTACTTTAAGGGTAGACTTATAACTTTCCTTTTTGATAAAGCTTATAGTTAGAGTGGCTCAGGTTATCCAGAGCTATCTCTATAGTTATGCTGCTATAGGCGTAGACTGCTGGAGGACATAGGGACCCCCATTTAATCATTCTGCTTCATTCTATCTCTATTCTCCCGCTCTGCTTCTGTCTCCTTGAACCCCAGTCAGCCTTGGCAGATGTCCGCTCACACTGAGCCTGGTTCTGCTGGAGGTTTCTTCCTGTTAAAAGGGAGCTTTTCCTCTCCACTGTCGCTACAAGCATGCTTAGTGTGTGGGATTGTATTTGAGTCAATGAGTTGATGCAATCAACTGGTTTTCCTTAGATTGAAAACTTTGAATCAATCTGACTGTATGATCTGGTTGAATTGTAAAGTGCCTTGAGATGACATGTGTTGTGAATTTGGCGCTATATAAATAAATGAATTGAAGTGTGTTGAGAAATGCAGGAAAGAACTTGCTACACCGTGACAGTATGTCTTGATGTCATTATATCAGCTGCTCCCCTTTTTGTCTTGCAGCACAAAATGCAGGATGCAGATTCCCAGAATGACTACATCAACACCAAACCCAAAGCACCTCCAAACCGCAGGAAGAAAAGAGGAATCCAGCATCCTATACCAAAACACTTCTGATGATTCGGACGTCACTGGATTATTTTCCTAGCTTCTCCCTCAACACACTGACTGTGTCTAGAGCTTAAAATAAGTATAACATTGTTGTAATTGGGGTGTTTAATCTGTCTATTTCGTTTAAAGAGACTTTTATTTGTGTATCAACACTTTGTTTAAGTGGGTGTCTGAGAAATTGTGTGTATTTTAGAAACAAGGGCAGATTTTTTTTTTGACTTCCTGTTTCACTCGCTGTAACGAGTCATGCGAAGTCAGGAACCCCCTCATCTTTGTGGTCAAAACAGAAGGTGGTGCCTTCATGAGGGGATTTAACCACATTTAAAGAGCCTTTTTTTCAGTTTGTAAATCAGTGCAACACCTTGTGGATCAAGAATGACCACAAACTACAAAAAGATAAATACAGTTTTGCAAGCCGCAACACCTTTCTGGGTTCTTTTCAGAGAAACTACATTGAGATTATACAGAGGTTGATGATGAGCAGAAACACATTGAGCTGCAAGCAGATTGAAAATAACAAGTTGCACCATTTCCTGCCCTCCTTTTATCATTTCGTTATGGGTATGGGTTTTCTGCAGAGGTCGCGGCTTCAAAGCGCTCCACCTTTACCGTGCTCACCTTGCACTTTCTGTGCAAGCGCTCACGCTGCTTTTATTGGTTTCATTTAGTAGCAGGTTTTTCATAACCACCGCAAGTTCTGACAAAATTAGCCTAGTGTTTCTGTGAAGCCTTTAAGCTGCCGGGGAAGGCAGGCAGATGACTAAAACATATTGAAATCACTTGTCATTTGATAGTCATCACTCCATTTTTCCATAATGACTAAAAAAACAACAGCACAAGAAAAGATCAGCTCAGGTAATTGCTGTGATGCTTTTTTTTTAAAGCGACATAACATCCTATAAATAGCCCAAAATCAATTATTTATCTTAAAACAAAAAATCATATTTGATCTTTTAGCTCTACCTAAATGCAGAAAACATTCAGAGCCTATTGTTTTAAAATACTTTATTATTGTTATTATGTACAGGTTTTCAACTGAACAAACTTTCAATCTGCACACATTCCTACGTGGCTTTTTGGTCTTGTTTACACCGTCTAAACTGTTCCGGATCCGACATGTTCCTCTTTTGTTTGTGGTTCTGATGCATGGTCTGGAAATAGAAGTCCTCGTATAACATCTGTCCTCTCCTCCTCAGACAATGGCTGTAGGTGCTGCTCTGTTACCTTCAGGGAAAGAGAAAACATGCAAAATATGCTTCAACTGATTTAAACAGACTTTGCAACACAGGCGGCTACATAAACCTGGGTGTTTTTTATCAATGTCACACTCTATGCGGATGATAACAGATACTTTCTGAAGGTTTCAACTCTCTAAAACAACCTGAATTCACAATAAAGGCCATCACATCTATAGCAAAGGCTAATTGATAAATGTTATTTGGTAACTTCAGTTGCTACCAAGAGAAAACAGGAAGAGATTTATCAGTAAAATCAAACATAAGTCTCACCAAAACAGGAGTGTATCCCAGGATCTTCAGATGACGGATCTTGAGAGTGAGTGGGCCACGAGGGTGGGAAGTACCGTAGCAAAAAGTAGAGTTCGGTGCATAAATAACGGCAATTCTAGAATAAAAAATAAAAAAAAACAACCCAATAATAATTAATACATGTGTCAGTATAATTTTTTTTAATGATTAAGTTAGTATACAGAGAATTTAAATGTATGTATGTTTTGGAGTGACATATTTAAAATAAAAAACATAAAAGATAAGAGATAAAATTTTGCAAAAATCTTTTCACAGATTTCAATTTTTAATCATTTCTGTTTATTTAACATTCTCTGTATCATATTTTAATGTTTTTTTTCCCAGGTAACTATACCCTAAAACAATAATATGGCCTGAAGTTAAATGTTGACAATACTACTAGTTCTCGTCTTTAACTTTTTTTTTTTTTTTGTTACCAATTTTTTATTGAGAATATTCAGTTACAATTCAATGCCACTTTGATGTACAAAATAATTTAGTTCTGTGTCTGTTTTTTTTTTTTCAACTGATTGTGATTAATCAGTTTTCAAATAAACAGTCTTTTTGGTTTTGGTTTTGCCTTCTTACAGACTTCATATGTTTTCGCTTTTTTCCTTCAGATAGTTCAAAAAGGGATGCACCGATTTTCTTAATTTTGGGAGAGCGGTTATCGGCTGATATTTAGATGTTAAGCCGATCTTGATCTTTTCTTCCAAATCCGATCTACCTCTGTAAAGGTCTGGAAGTCACCCAACTGTCATTGCTTTAAAACTTTATATTTAAAAGCAGATGTTTCAAGAGTTTTTTTATTGTTTTACAGGCAATGATTAGTAGTAAAAACAAATGTGTTTCAGTCAAAATCACAATTGGCAAGTCAGGCGTTTTAAAAATCAGGAATCTATGATCAGAAGGTAATCAGTGCGCCTGCAATTTTAAATCAACACATTTTAGAATATCAAGAAAATATATTAAGATGGAATTTTTAAATATTGACGTCATTTATTGAGGAAAAATAATCCAAACTATCGAGCCTGATGTGAAAATATAATTACCCTTGTTTGATCTTGAAATTACTCTGATTACTCTGAATTTGTAAATTTACAACCTAAACCCATGTCTGATTACTGCCAAACCTGTATTATCATAAATGTAAATGGAAGCTTTCTGACAACATAGCTAAAAAATATGTTAATGGCTGCATATCATGCTCTAAAGAAAAGAAAAAAGGACATTGTATTAATTAGCCTGAAAGGGAACATTTCTAAGGATCTCCAATAACCGTGAGACATTCTTCATTAAAGGGAGAAAATCTTTCCAAGACTGTCAGTTCTTCCAAAATGACACCCTAGAGTGCATCAACGACTTATCCAATAGGCCACAGGAGAACTCAGAACAACATTCGAACCTCTAGTTTCCTAATTTACCTCAATAGATAGTTCAGTTCTTGATTCATCTAAAAAAGAGAGAGTTTTTGGGAGAGTTTTATGTCATCTAGGAGTTCCAGAACCACAGCTGAACTCCTGAAAACCTAAAAAAAATCTCATATTTTTCAATAAACAACGAGATGATCCCCAGGTCTTTGGGGAATGTTTTCTATAGACTTTCTATAGATTAATTTCATCCTGATGGTGAGATTATCAGGATTTGCTTTGCTGCTTAAAGACCTTGATCACTTCCTGGGAGAATTATGATTTCACAATGGATAGTTGGACAGTTAAGCCCCGCCCATAAAAGACGTAATTGTCATAAATTTTAATCTGATATTGAGACTTAAGGAGGGAAATAATTAAATCAAACAATATCTATACTTTAAAAAAAAGTTAAGGTTTTCCCACTGTGCCTTTGCTACTACAATAAAAAAAGACTAATTTCAGTAATAATCAGTGTTTGTATCCCTCTTCATAATACCAACAAATGAGGAAGGTGCTGCATATATTCAATCCAAAGCCAATTTAAAAGAGTAGCTCTAACAGTTTGCACAGAAATTAAACGCACTGTCTTTATTCTAGCATTTTCCAAGTATTTAAGTTAGGATTCATAGCAATAAGATAAATATAGACAGAAATCCAAATAACAACAGAGCCCAACAAATTATTGAAAATAAATGGAAAAAGTTAAATGAAAACCACATTTTTCTCTAAAATGCAACAATAAAAACCTTTAGAGATGGTAATACATGACAGTCAAAGGATCCGGTGGTAAAAAGGTGAATCTTTTTTCCACAAAAATGCTCTTGCTGCTATTCCAAAACTTTCAAAAGAAGATATTAGTGACCTCTACATCTACAAACCTTTTATTAGAAAATTATGTTATTTTTTTAAAAGCAGCATGAGAACTTTTTCATTTCCAAGGAAAACATATATAACAATCTCTATCAATAAGAAAACAGATTAGTTTAGATTTCACCCAAGTTTTTATGTAAATACACACTGACTAGTCCTTTTTTTGTTTTCTACTTTTATTCTGTATTTTACCTCTTTTTAGAACTGATGTTTATTGTGGGAGTTTCCAGACACATGTGAACGCCTGGAAACATCCTCATTGCAGCTTTCACAGCACACTTTACCAAATATGACACAAGCATTTACAATCATACATAAAAAAAAAAAAGAATACCACAGACTGCTGATTTGCAGACTGAGCTTGAACTTGCTTCCAACCACAGTCTACTGCTGTTTTTTTCCTTACCTTTGACTGCTGTCTGCTGGAGAACTACTAGTTTCCATCACATCTGTTTGGCTCGGAAGCGGCTTGGTTATAAGACCATCTGGAGTTAAAAACATTTAAAAAAAAAGGTTGTAATAAACCAGATTATTAACTTTGACATTTTTCCTTAACGCTGCATCTTTACCTATGACGTAGAAGTTCTCCACCACCGACATTTCCTGCAGCGTTGCGTTCTCCTGACCCGCCAGCACACTCTGCAGGCTCTTTGAGAGCTGTGGGTTAACTGACTGGCTGCTGGAGGCGGGGTCTCCCAGGGCGGATGAGGGGACACTCAGGGGCTTAGGGAGAGGAGGACGGTCAAGACGGAGACAGAGATCAATTCTCTGAAACATTGTCTCTCTGCTTTTAGGGAACTTTCCAGCTGAGGAGAAATAATTTGCTTTAATTTAAATATGCAAACAGCCCATCTAGTTAGTGCATGTTTATAGGTTATAGTTTATCCTTACATGCAAGCTGCTCCAACATGCTATCATTCAGGAGCTGCTCCAGGAGTGTAGAGGGGAAGTGGTTCAGCAGACACAGACAGTAGACAGCCTTTAGCAACTCAAAACCAGACATCTTGGGAAGGTAGGAGTTAAGAGCATTGCTGAGACTATCAATAAACCTTAAGAGAAATGAAAGAAAAAAAAACATAAACATCCCTAAAGACAACAGAACACTTAAGGGAACAATCATTAATGTTTTTTTTTTTTGCTATTTTTTAATATCGACCGAAATGTTTCTATAAGACGAAGACAAAAAAGGCAAAGCATAAACCACAGAGTGCTACTCTACAAGTAAGAGGGAAGACAGTAAAAAACATCCTTAAGGGAACATCGCTGCTTTGTTTTGTCCAATACAATCTTAATTTTATGATTGTTAAAAAACTATGTTTAACTTCTAACAGAGATGCAAAGATATACAACATTTCCGAATAAAGGTAAGAACTGGTGACTGTTGTGTGTGAGATCAGAGTTCTGGCTCTAAAGCAAACGTGCCCAAAGTCGGGCCTCGAAGGCCGCTGTGCTGCAGGTTTTCAGCTTTTCCCTGCTTCAGCACAGCTGATTCTGATAACTGCAGTTCAGCAAAAGCCCGTTATTTAGCTATCAATGAAAATCAGTTGTGCTGAAGCAGGGAAACCTGCAGGAAAGCGGCCCTCGAGGACCGACTTTGGGCATGTCTGCCCTAAAGACAGATCCTGCACTGTAGGAACAAATATGCATTCTGCTTTGATTTCCCCTTGTTTTGTTAGTTCTACTCAGGGGGCAGGCAGGGAACTGACAGAGGGTTTTGCAGGTACAAGGGGCCAGAAGAGGACTCCAAATTCTTTCTCAAATAATCAAACCAATCAGTAGCATTTACCTGAAATGAACTACGGTATTTTTGCCTTTTATAGGTGATACACTCCGAACTTTTTTAAAGAGGATTATCAATCTTGCTGCCCTTCAGTACTATTTCAAATCCCGATTGCATGTAATGTTATCTTATGAGAGATGACTTTCTGATTACTGTTATATGATGAAAGCATCTAGTTTGAAAGTAAACGATTTCACCTTTAAATCTGACAGGGAGTTAAATAATTACGAGTTTAACTCCAGTCTTTAAGTAAAAGCTGCGACTAAAATGCAGTTTGTATAACCAAAGGAAACAAAGAGGAAAATTAAACACATATATTATCTTTTCAAAAAGTTTGTTCATACTAACAGGGACTAACAAATCAGGGAGTCCTGTTGGAGTCCCAAAAGCATTTATTTTTTTAAACCTCTAAACTGAACCATCTTTAACTTTTAAGCACTAAATGCTTTTTAAACATTTTAAAAATATGCAAAAAGTGGTCACACTTAAAGACCAAAAAGTGTCCACACAGTACCAGGCAAAGCATTCCAACTAATAATAATATTCATAATAATAAATAATATATAGTCATTCTTTTCTGTGTGTAAATGCTGCAACTATGAGCTAAAATGACCCAATCTATTCCCCAGACATTTCAAAACGCTACAAACCTTTTGAGATTAATTTTCAAAGCTTAACATTTGCACATTGTTTGGAGCTGATTTAAATTTCAAATCAACCCATTAAATTCCAATCATTATCATTGGGATTAATGACCCAACAAATGTATGTCTCAATGAAATAGAAGTTCACTTTTACGGTTTAAAACCGCCAGATTAAAAACAATAAAAGTAAAAAAAACTCTAAAGTCAGCAGACTCTGGTTGGTCGGGAAAAGTTGGAGACTTACTGTTGTCTATGATGCCGCAGATCATAGTTAAAAGAGGAGTAAACTTTTAGGACACACAGAAGGTCTTTCAGGGTGAGGGCATCGGCGTTAGTGATCACTTTCTCAGTATAGGCCTCCATTAAGGAAGTGGGGCAGAAGAGAAGGTCCTCAAACACAGACAGGAAGAAGACCAGCTACAAAACAAAAAGAGGCCAGATTTTCATGACCTGAATGTGGTTGGTAAGTCTTACAACATCAGGACAAATTAAATGCTCATTTTTAGCACCTGTTTATTAGTCCATATGTCAAGCGTTGACGCAACATAGCCTGAAACGCTATTAAGTAGATCTATGTCTCTGTAGAGAAGCTCCCTACAGGACTGCAGCACATTGTAGAGTCTGTTAAAAGGGATGCCATGAAGGTTTTCTACCAGAAAACACAGACACAACAGAAAATAGAAATGAAAAACGGTTGCAGTCATCAAGAGATCTTTTTTGTGGATAAAATCTTACCTTGGATTTTCCCACTACAAATTTTCAGCAGTGGTTTGGAGTGAAAGCCCATAGTGGCCATAGTGGAGATCATGTATTGGGCATTGGGAAGGCTGAATTCGTCTGCCATTGAAAGAGCCTTTGTCTGCAACACACAGGGTACAGAATATTTGACGACTCAGATTGGATTCAGAAGAAGATAACAGATAGATTCAGATAAAAAAAAACAACAACAAAAGAAGGATTTAGGGTAAAAAAAAAGCAAGGTGTTAAAAGTTCAAAAAAAGAAAAAGTGGTAAAAAGCACATATCAAGTGCTTCAAAGACTTGATAGGTTTTTTAGCAACCAAGACCCTGAATCTAAACAATTTAATAGCAAATTATTCTCTTTACATCGTGTAACCATAAGCCAAATTTAGGTCTGATTTACTTTCTTTCTTTTCTATTGGAGAAAACCTGTTAGAAGCTGCAAAAAACTGAAGGTCTGGGATGCAGGTTTAGCTGTCAGGAGGACAAAATCTCTAAACACAGCAGCCGAGCTATAATAACATTTTTTTTAGATCAAAACGTAAGCCTGTTTATAAATAGCTTTAAACTAAGGGGTGAAAAATGTGGATCAGGAGCTATTTTGTGGCCTCTGGCCTGAAACATTGGGACCATAAAATAAGAATGAAACACTTGACCTGTCATTATAGGGGGTTGATAGCCTGATTAACAAGACTAAATGTGAGATTACATGTGTAATTAAAATTCGCAGGAATAAATTATTTTGGGGCTAGTTTACTAGGCTAGGGGGTTGATGAACATGACAACTTATTTACAATTTGAGCAAATTTAAATTATTTCAAGGGAAATATGTTTTTTAAATAAACATTGCTTTTGCTTTTTTTTTATTTTAAAGTGAAAGTAAAACAAATATCCACCAACTTTCATTCAAAAAACAGACCTGGATGAACCCAAATCTGCAATTTATTTCATTTATTTTTAGACATTGTTTTTAATTAGAGTTCTTGTCTCTGAGAATAAAAAAAAATAATAAAATTTTATGAAAATTTAAATTTAAACATCAGGTTTTTGTGACCTGCAAGCACTTTCAGATGATTGATTTTGGCATATGTGGCAAAAGGTTTGAATACCTCTGACCTACATAAAGCCCAGATCTAGAAACTGTTTTGAATTAAACTCAACAAATATGTTATTAATTCCAAGTAGGAAATTTGAATACCTTTTTTACGTTAAACTTTAAACTTCTTGAATGATTTGAAGTAGTATCAAACAAACATAATTAAGTTATACAGTAAGAAATGTGGCTGTAATGAGAGTAAATGTAAAAACAAAATAAACTCAAGCAAGAAACAAGTTCAACGACCATGAATACTTATGCAAGGTGTTGCTCAGGCACCAGAGAAAATCTAAAACAAAAGTAGTTAAATAAGACTCAAGCTTACCTCTAGTTTTTGCTTGAGCTCCTTTGGTGCATCTTTTCCCAGGAGTCGCATCATGGTCTGAAGAGCCAAGACATTTTTAATCTCAGGAAGACGCATCTCAACCACCAGCCTGAAACATTGGAACAATTAGTGTAAAATAAGTTTAAATTAACAGATGCTTTCCAACACTTCGACTAAAATATCAGTGATACCTCATGCCTTCCTTTAGAGCCACGGCATTCTGACTATCCTTCATATGGTCCAGAGCAGAGGCCAAGATGGACAACGTTTTCACATCAAATTCATTCAATCTCTCCTGTTTGGGAATAAAATAAATTTGAGCTTAACATGAAAATCCAACAATGCCTTTGCATTACAAAGGTCAATTTCTAACTGCTTGCCTGGCAAGTTCGTACGAAGGTCTGGATCACACGGCTCTGCTGAGGAACCCCCAGATTGACCATGCTTAACAGAGAGTAAGCTACATCATTGTTGCGCGTGTGCTTTATGGACCTCATCGCCCTTTGCAAAAGATCATCGAATTCAGGATGCTCAAACATCAGCTGCAACTCATAGCGCCGTTGTTCGTCTGACATCTTCTTAGTGGACGTCCACATTTGGTTGAGACAGTTGCTGACCTGGTGAACTGTGGCTGAATACTTAGATGCAAGATCTAACACGTCTGATGGGGAGCCACATTGATGCAGGAGATCCTGGAAATGGGAGCGTCGATGTCTCTGCTGTGAGGAGGTCTGGTCAATCTTAGTGTCAGTAGAAAGTGGGCGCTCTGAGGCGACACTGTTGCTCTCCTCTAGGTCCCCATTCTGATTTCCTCCATGAGAGAAGAATCGTGTTGCACAAAGAGTCCCAGAAAGGTAATTTTGGTTCCTCCTACCGCCCCAACAGCATATTGGGTCATTTCTAGATAAAGATATGCTGTCAAATGCTGCTGGCACTGGAGTACTGAGAGGTTTCCATGGAAACCTCCTATAGCAAATGCGCAGTGAGCATCTCATGACCTCATTTGTCATCCTAGTAGTCATGTTGTGGGTTTTATACTGTGCTTATGGACTTTTTATTGCTATCTAAGTATGTGCAGAAAATCTATTTCTTCTACAATTTTGAATACATCCTGCAAATCATGTAGAATTAATCTTTAAATGTAATATTAAGCTATAACTCTCACTTTATTATTATTATTTTTTTTACATTACGGGTTACTAATCATCTTAAACGTCAACAAAGATGTGTAGCAATAAAAAAATCAATCGACTAACAAGGTCAACAGACCTGGTTGTCAACAGTCCAACTTAAATAACAAGCTAGCTCTCGTTAGCTGGCCTTTTTTTTCTTTTTAAAACATACAAATTAAACACTTAATTTGTCATACTTGCAACCCCAAGTAGAGTCGACGAGAATATGTCATTTAATGACAGTAAGTTAAATTAAAAATTAAGTTAAATTCACCAAGCTAATTTTAGCCTTCATATCCATTCGCATGGGCATGCAAAAACGCGTCCGTTACGATATTGTTTCCCCGCTAGCAACCTCGGCATTTCGGTTCCTATCGAAACATTTTATGATAAACCTTTCTGAAAAAGGAAATATAAATAATTTGGGATTTAAATGAGAAAATATGTGTTTGTTTGTTCTCCACCCTATGCTGAAATATAACTGTATTTACGAAAACATTTTCAGCAAATATTTTTTCTATTTCCAACACGGAGTCATATTCGAGCTACAACCAACCACAGTTACTAGGCAACAGAAGCGTTCTACGTAACATGGCAACATTTGTGCTTGCTGGTAAATTTCTATTTTAGGGCTCTCTAAATTGTAAAGAATCCCCCAAGTACGTGGTAATATATATGTCTAATATAATTATATACATTTTTTGTTGTTTTTATTTTACTACAGGTAAGGCAGATTGTCCTTATTATGCCAAAGCGGAGCTGTTAGCGGACACCCTGCAGCGATCTCTGCCAAACTTCAGAGTCCATAAGATCTCTGTCCTGCCAGCTGAGTGGAAGGTAGTTCATGATTTTGGGAAATTTCATGTCTCTTTACAACGGAAGAGAATTGGTGCCACTGAAAGAAAAATAAAAAAAGTTAATTGATTTTTACATTTTATTTCAATATATATTTCAGCATTTTTATCTCAGAAATTTTTTATTTTTTTTCCTCAGAATTCTGACTTTTTTTCCTCAGGAAAAGAATTCTGAGATTAAAGTCAGATTCCTGAGATTAAAGTCAGATTCCTGAGATTAAAGTCAGAATTCTGAGATTAAATTCAGAATTCTGACTGTTTTCCCATATTAAACTGAAATAAATGTAAAAATCATTCAACTTTTGTCTTTTTTTTTTTTAGTGTCTCTAATCCTCTTCCGTTCTATACTTTCGAACACACCTCTGTAAATGATAAACAATTAAAATGGCCAGACAAAATATGGAAATTAAATTTAAAGATAGAATCTTATGGAGTTTCAATCCATCCTGCAAGTATTCTTTAACATGAATTGAGTAAAATTGTTTAAATAACATTTAACTTAATGAGAATTCTGAATTATATATTATTTAATTTATTTGCACTATTATGAACTATGTTTTTGTTTTTTGATAAATAATTTTCTATGAATCTTGAATGCATCAGAATTATTCTTGTTCATCTGTCTTCAATAGTCCCCATGTGTTTACTGCTATTGTTCTGACAGGATTGGCTGGAATCCACGTGCCTAAGAAACAGCTGGAACCACGATAGCTCTCCTATAGTTTGGAGAGAGCTGGTGGAGCAAAATGGTAAAGGGATGCTCCTGGGTGGCTTCAGTGACTTCCTGGATCACTGTAGGGTAGGCACAGACTCCTTCGCTCCTTAAACATCTTTCGTGAAAAACATTTCAGATTTGACTTGACTGTTTTTGTCCAAGTCAGTCCCAACTGTCAGTGCTAGTCTTTAAGCTCCAAAACCTCATATTCCTGTAGATGGTAGCTCAGCATTTATAAAATACAATGTTTTTGTGATCTATCTTACTCGTGTCCAAAAAAGAATCTTTATGCTTTTCCATAAAAATATGTTTAAAAAATGTATTCTTGTTAAATTAATGTTAAAGTGGATCTGATGTTTAATAACCAGCAATTTTGGTCACTCATTTGGAATTAATTGAAGTTGCTGAATGACTAGATTAAAAACCCAGATGGCCTCCACCAGTCACTTCTGAGCACCGCTTTTTTATTTTCTTGTTTGTTTTATAAGGACTACTATGGGATAACCCCAGACATGTCCACAGATGTGATGCAGAGAATTGCAGCAGAGAATCTGCAAACACAACTAAGCCTGATTGCTGAAGAACAGCTTCGCCTCAGTCTAATTAAGCCCCTTTATGTATGGATAACTGGGTAAGTTAGGAAAAAATATTGATATGATAACAAAACAACCCTTACAATCCATGTGACTTGATCTCTCCCTCTCTCTTTCCAGTGCTCTCAGATTAACATGCCAAATCTTGATTCCAAGTTTGCTGTCTGCTGAGATGTTTCCTAACGAGGCAGTGTCACTCCATCTGCTGGACCTGGAGGGGGACAGGGAAGAATTACAAAGGCTGAAGATGGACGTTGAAGACCTGGCACTTGATGCGCTCCATCAGGTAAATTATTCTAACATAGATTTACCAACTAAATTTATATATAGAATTAACCAAAGTCACTTTTTAGGTGACAGTTCACACAGATCTGGATCAGGCTTTCCGTGACGCAAACCTCATCCTTCTGTTGGATGATTTGAACCACGATGCAGAGATCGACAGAGTTACAAACCTGCGCAAGCTCTACAGAGAGTATGGGCGTCTAATCGATCGCCGAGCAAACAGACACGTGAAGGTGATGGTGGCCGGTGACACCTTTCTCAACCTCAGATGTTCCCTGCTTCTGGAAAACGCACCTTCCATCAACAGCCACCAGTTTGTTGCCACAGCAACGCAGCTGGAGCATGAAGCCAGAGCTGAGGTTGCGAAGAAGATGGGCGTTAGGCCACAAGGTATCTACAGTGTGCTTCTTCTGCGACTTAAAAGAGAACGGTTACCATTTGGTCTTCTGCTGCAGATGTCAGAGACGTCATTGTGTGGGGGAACATCGGTGGCGGTTTCATCATTGACCTGCAGAGGGCGAAGGTTTTCAACTATCGAGGGGCCATCAGGGGACCGGCTTTTTTCTCCCTATCAGTCCTCCAGGTTTTACATGACAGGTGTGCTAAACTTTTAGATCCACTTAAATTGCAGATTATGTGGATTCATAAGACACAATGTGAAATATTTAAGTTTTGCTGTAATTTATGGTGGCTTGAGGCTGAAAAAAAATCAGATTGGAGTATTTCATCTAATCAAAAAAGCATTTCTTGCTATATAAACAACATTCTTAAACAACACGTGGAAGAATGGTAACCAGATTGTCCAGCAGGCATCAAGATTACTTATTAGAATCGATAAACAGTCGTATTTCACTGACCACACCGTGCTGAATTGGCTTGCAAATGGCATGACTTCAATAGAGAAATATTAATTATGGCCTTATTGAGAAGAAGGGCAAAATTATTTTGAACGGTATCACTATTGAACACTAAAAGAAATGAACTTAATCATACCCCAGCAACAGACACCAGAGCAGGTTTATTCTGCCTTTAGTTATTGCTTATTCATCTGGCTGGTCGTTTTTCAGAGCTTGCATCTGCCACCTATCAAATTACAAAGCTAACGATCAGAGAGGCTTCAGCCAGTGCAAACAATGAAAACAATAGCTTAGTTTGCCCTGAATGAACACATACCCTATTTGCATCAAGTACAATAAAAGGCACAAGCATCCTTTATTCCAGGAAATGGCTGGAAACAGAATTTCAACAACAGGTTCGTCGTCATCATGCAGTTGTGGTTTCAAAGAGCGGCCGTACAGCTGCTATTACAGTTGCCAATGGCATCCTGAGAGTGCTGAAGGCCTGGAACGGGGCTAATGCTGAAGATCAGATCTTCTCCATTACACTTAGCGCAGGTTAGAACCCAGTACAGATATAAATGTCACAAAGAATTCAATCTGGGAATAATATAATTACTGTTATGCATCTCGTATTCAGGGTTGTATGATTTCCCAAATGAGACCATCCTCTCAGTTCCAGCTACATGCATGGATGGCAAATGGTCTGCTCTGCTGGATGTGACGGTTGACGAAAAACTGAGGGAGGAACTTAAGCTTTGTGTAGATGAGCTGCAGCAGGTTTGTCACTAGAAACTTTAACGTGCTTAAAAGTTAAAGAGATTTGAAAATCAAAGGTGATAAAAATGTTTTTTTCTCCTTACCCAGGAGAGGAAAATCTACTGCAAAGAGGGCATCTGAGAAATGAAAAGAAAATGAGGTTTTATCGACTCCATACTCAAGTTTCTGTCCTTTTATTCTTTTAAGTTTCCTAAAACTGTCCAGAGCAGTTTTATATATGTATACATTAAAGATCAAACTAAAACCTTTGTGGAAAGAAGGAAAAATTAGAATATATTTTTTTCTTCTCAGAATTGAACCTTTTGTTAAATGCCTATTTTTCTAGTAGTATCTAAGAATAAAACACGACTTCCAAACTCAGGTTTTTTTTGTTAATATCACACTTTACCAACCCATCTCTTATTACAGATATCTTTAAACATTAAACTTTTATTCTCATCATTAGTAACAAAATATCACACAAATTGAACCTCTTTTTGCATGAAGCATTCAATGGTTTTTTTCCCTCCAACACAAGTTGTGCAGTATTTTATCTGTAGACAAGGAGAACTTGAACAGTGCTGTTTTTACATGCAGAAAATACAACTTTTTGACAGTTTTCCTTTGCATTTCTACACTATTAACAACAGGGGGGTTAGTAGAAATACAACGCACTAGGACTGGTCAGGACATGGATACATACTCTGTCATGTTATTTTCGCTTTGTACAACCTGAGAGTCGGACGCTGAGTGGTTTAAAAAAGCAGAGAAGGCCCTTCATACAGATTCGATCACATCTGAGCCAATTGTAAAGAAATTAGTCAGCCTTGTGGAGAAAGGAAAAAAAAAAAAAATCCATCAGTCAAATAAAAATAAAGTTTTCCTACATGCGTGATGCACGGCATGCATGGAAAATAAAAAAAACTGGGAACTATACAATATCCTCTTCTTAGATTAGCAGGAAATTCAGTCACAAATGGACCAATTATGCACAGATGACGATAAAAACTTGAACCGAATCCTTTCATTTCACCTTCTATGAAAGTCGTTTGTATCGTTTCTTTATCTTAACATCCAATAAGGTCAAAGCTGCTGCTTTCTTTTTGAAACTTAAAAAAAAAAAAGAGGTTCACATAGGGATTTGTGACATTTTCCTACAATTTACACCTGGATGTACATCGTGTTGTTAAAACTACTATATACAATCGTTACGGTAGCCAAAAGGATAAAAAATAAACCTTCGGTCTTTCTCTAAGATGTCTTTATTAACCAGCTGGCTTTTAATTTAAATAATTTATAGCATATATTGATGGTTATTACATCTAAATCCATCATTTGACCTTCTCATAAAGTTCTACTGGGATTGATTTCCGAGACGGGGGCGTTATTACCGTAATAGGTTTGCCAGACTTTATCGGGCCACAAACTTAACATCTCACGCCTCCATAATCCCTCATTCCAGTTTAGGAGGAGCTAATCTTCTACTGTACCGAACACATCGGTCGTTTACACTGCGTGTGTTTTAAGGGGACACATTTGTGCTTAGTGTGGGACGTATACTAAAGTTCATTGCCGGGGTGAGTGGCTTTTTTTTAAATCTTCTTTGTTTTATTTAATTGTTTGGTCAGAATATTTCTAAAAGATTTTTGTTTTTTTAAATAGCTGAGATCAGATTCTTTGGTTGCAGATTTATTAATTTTCCATATAAGGTTTAAACCATACAGGCTTAAATATAGCCATACAGGCAAATAATATATTTTTAAAATTGGGATCAATTTGGGATTTTTTTTTGCACAACTGATTTTATTTTTATTTTAACCAAAGAAAAGCGTTTTTTTTTCAGCACCCACCCTACGTTTGCTGGTTAAAAGATCCCAACGGATCAAAGGAACTTCTACCAATGAAGCTATGAATGATTATATGTCCCCTTTAAAGGTACAGTAAGGTTTTCTTCTACTGAACGCTGCCTGACTAACAAAGAAGTATTCCAAGTCTGAGACGAATCTTGAAATGTGGAAGCAATTACCTCAAGTCTCCTCCTTTACCCCCCAAATATTTTTAAACTCTGGGGTTAATGCATTTTTTCTATATGTATGGATATGATGTAGGTTTAACGTACAGATAAAAAAAAGAAAGCAGGTGGAAGGTGGGCACCAGGGGCTATGACTGTGGTTGTTGCGGTGCGTCTGGAGCTGCTCTGTCCAGGCCCTCATCCACCTGCTCCAGTTCACTTTGGTCCAAAAGCTCAAAGTCCTCTTCTTCGGTTGGAACTAGAGTGTCATCCGGGTGTTCTTCTCCAGTACCGCTTTCCGTTGTCGTCACCCCCTCTTCCAGGTCTCTGTCCGGATCGAGGGCTCCTACTATAGTGTCAGCGGTGTCGGCTGATTTGGTGGAGGATTCCAGAACGCCCGGTAAGGATTCAGTCGGGAGGAACTCTGCCAGGGAGGGCTCCTCGCTGGCCTCGCTGGAGCGCAGCAGAGCCGACAGAGTGTTCTGCACGACAGTGGATATGGCCGTGCTCACTATCTCCTCGCTCAACGCCTCCAAGGAGCGCTGCGTGCCCTGGCTCACCGCCGCCTCCTTCTGCGCTTCCTCCTTTACGTCCGAAGCAGGAGGGGCGCTCTCCGCGCCGCCGGGCGGCTGCCCATGTCCGTTGAAATGCGTGTTCACAAAGTGCAGAGGCGAGGCCAGGTGCTGGATGAGGAGGGTGGCGGGGCTCAGCGGCTCCTTCTCCGACTGAGCCTGGGCTCCATCGCCATGGCCTGGACCCCGCATGGGGAAGTGGAGCAAACTGGGCTCTATGGATGGAAACTCGTCAACAGAGGGGAACTCAGGAAGATCCCGCAGATAGGCCTCCTCTGGGTCACTGTGGAAACTCTGTTGGTCCAAGTCTGGAACAAAGAAGGGCCACATTAACCATTCATCTAACCGCTGACACCATCCAAATCCTATTTGCTCCTGTAAGCATTTAAGATTTACCTTCAGAGAAATCGGCTAGTTGAGGTGTGGTGGCTCTAGAGACTGGGAACCCTCCACTCTCCAGTATGGACGCCTCTTCATCAGACAGTTCAGAGTCTGTGATGGCCATCGCCAGAGCTGTAGTCTTCATATCCACCTGAGAACAAAGATGGATTAGATTCATCCCAGAAGAATGAAATATATATAGCTGTTTTTTTTAGAAGGATGGCAAGCTGTTGGCCTCAAACAGGCATTTTATGAATCAAAACCAGGCTTCACCAAGACAACAACAATGAATCTGTCCACTAAGTTTACAGCATTTCAGATAAAGCTGGAGCACTGGTCTGTGCGAGTGGATGGCGGAAGTTTTGAAATGTTCCCAAAGCTTCAGGTCTTTATGGAGAGTGAGGACATAACCATTCCAACTTCTTCCTCTCAATTCGGGAACCTGCTTGAAAGTTTCAATAAGTATTTCCCGAATTATTGCACGGTAGAAAAACACGACTGGATACGGCAGCCTTTCACCTTCACCATGCATCATCTGTCCTCAGAGCTTCAGGACGCCCTGCTCCATCTCTCTTCCGATCCCACATTAGGCTGTTTTCTCTACGCAGCACCGTCAAAAGCTTCACCTATTTCATCTTTCATTTGCGTCCACATATCTGTCTGAAAAGACCTTTTCTGCACTGACATGCATGAAAAAACAAACACAGATCAGGACTCCTCCCAGCTGAGTGAGCTCCGTGTGGCCGTTTCTAACATAAAGCCCAGAATGCAGCTGCTCTGTTCAAACAAGCAGGCTGAACATCACAATAAATAGTTGCACAAAAAGATCTCAGGAAGTTCAAACAAACATGGGTTTTTTTCTAGTGTGTTTTGTTAAAGGTTAGTGTTTTATTTCATAAAAAAAGAAAGTTTGCATTATTTGTTTACATATTAACAGCAAAATGATGGGATGTATGGACCATCATCCGTATGATCTGGACAGCAGTGGATGTTATGTGGGGAGTCACCACTCTAGAGTAATGATTGTTGATTGGATGGGTCATTTTAGGAATAAAGAACATTTGCTTAAAGGGACATAATTAATATATATTATAAAAACAAAATATGTCATGTTTTTGGTGGCTATCTAACATCATTACCTCTTACTTTACTCAAAGTCTGTCTGATTGATTCATCAGCCTCCTCTGATTACTCCTTTCCGAAAATCTGTCAAAGTCTGTAGGGATCCATTTGCCATCTGCAGTGTGAAACCCACTCAAGACTTCACTTCACTTTACTTACAACCTACCAGGTTCTACACAGTACGTATATAAATATTCAAATCTACATAACAACATTGGATTTGATCACTTTACACCAAGAAAGGACATAACTTAAAGTTGTAGGGAAGTCCTATTTAAATTTCAAATCATTCTGGCTTAAACATGTATATAAATGTACTCTTTATCAGATATTATTCCAAAAGTTAGAAATATTAATAATTTAAAGAAAATTCTGTCTTAAAATCTGTCTTTTTTCTTGTTATTTTATGCAGGCAATGTAATTGCCAATTTTAAACCTACTAGCACTAGGGTTGTCAAAAGTATCGATACTCAAAAAAGTATCGATACTGAAACGTTGTATCCGGATACAATACTCATTTTCAAAAGTATCGAGTACCAGTCGCACCTAAACAGTCATTCATCTAAAGTGCAGAATAGAGGACAATGCACTTTCTGAACACTGTGTGATTGAATAATTCTACGCACTTTTCAGTTTCAGACTTTTTTTGTAACAGTTGCAGCTGCTGAGAATTATTTTTGTTTCTTAACCGGTTTGGCCAGTGTCACTGTTATGTGTGCAAAGCATAGCCAAGGAAAGAACACTAAATTTTAATTTTGTAAGGTTTTTATCAAGCTTGCTAAATACTGTGCACAGAAAACAACCTCAAAATGTTGTTCTTATTGTTTATTGTATTTATTTATTTATTGTATTTTAATTATTAATCAAAAATATTTCTGTTGAAATTTTATCCTTGTGGTATCGAAAATGGTATCGAGTATCGAATATTTTCCTTAGTATCGGTATCGAGTTGAAAAGTTTAGTATCGTGACAACCCTAACTAGCACTAAGTTGCTAACTGGTTAGCAAGATGCTTCCGACAAACCAGCCACAACCGAACTTGCTTGCGAACCTTCCGCCACAACAATCCCGCCCCCTTAATAATCGACCAATCACATTCACTTTATTCACTCGTGTAAAGTCGAGCACCACTCGGGAGAATTCGGAAATGCAATGGTTGGAACAGCCGCTTCCCTACGACTTTAAAATCATCATTCCACAGTTTCACACCAATAACTGAAACACATCTAGACTTTATCCGTCTCTTTTGCTCATTCAACTATAAACAAACCTCGCAAAATTATATTTATTCTCTTAATTTAAATAATTTCTGAATACCAGAAGGAAGACTTTTGTTCACTGCTTTATATATACTTTGGATGAAGAGTTTATCAGTTGATTTTAAGGCATCCCACCTTATTAATAAGTGCTTTTTTTGCAACTTAACTAACCTATCAATAAACTTGTATTTCCCCATACTTCTGAACAATAAAGCTGTGTGTGTTGGGAAAATCTGCATAACGAGCAGCTGAAATGCCACTCATTCAACTTTAAACCGTTCAAAGTTGCAGGTTTAAGCAGGAAAACATTTCAGCCTATAAAAGATTAACTTGGAAGACACTAAGATCTATAATTAGCTCTATTATTAGTCATAAAAATACTGGAGTTTTATGCTAATATCTGGAAAAGTGTTTTTACACTGAATGCTGCTGTGTGGAGTTAAATGTATCTATAGAAAAAAAGGCTGTAGTAGTAAAACCCCTCTATTGATAAAAAAAAATATATATATGTGAAACTGCATTTAAAATTAACTGATAATCTGAATTTAGAGTTTTAAAGCATATTCTGTGCACCAATTTGAATGAGTAAGATTTGGAAACATACATTCCTGAATGCTGATTCTATCAGGGACCAAAAAAAAGAGGGACATACTTGGTATAGCTGTTAATAATCAGAATTATGACAATGTCGCTCCAGAATCTCCAGACTGGGAATTAAGTCTTTCATCAGAGCTTCTTCCCTTTCCGCCAATTTCAATGAAAAAAAAACACATTTTACAGAAAAGTCCCTTAAAGGAGGAGAAAAGAAAAACGTTTTCCCACCACTTTTTCTTACAGCCAGATGTCGAAATAAATGACTAAATACCAGACATGTTTTTCCCGGTCTTCCAGAAGCTGCAGGAATGTGGTAGCACTTGAAATATAAGCCTGGAAGACATGCAGACATGCACCAGCCCAGTTTCACTCCATTAACACAACGCATCCACCGACCCGAGTGCTGATCTCAGCATATAATATATCCAAGCTCCTCTTTTCTGCATCCGGTAGCAGATGCAGACAAATCTATCCCCTCTGTGTTGTGTTCGTAAATATCCATACCGTTGTAGCAAAACAGGACAACTCCTCCTCCTCTTCCTCGCTCTCACTTTCTGTTTCAGCTCTGGGCTCGTCCCCTTCCTCCACCTCTTTTTTTACCTCTGTAAAGAGCATTTGTAAAAAATAATTTTAAAAAGTGAGAGGATTTTTACCGGGAAACAAACAAAACGAAAAAAAAAATGGGGGGAAATGTATCCTGTTTTGCATCTGTAACGCTCACTCCTCTTATCGTGCTTGCGGTGCTCGGTCTCGCCCTTCATGGTGTAGTCCAGTTTCATCAGGATTGGCTCCAAGCCGGTGTACATCCTCTGAATCAGCTCATGATACACTACCAGGGGCCACAGCAGCACGCTGAGGGCTGAAAAAGAAGACATGAAGGAGGGAGGGGGCTTCGTTAAATGGCAAATCAACGCAAGATGTAGCTGAGTTTATCGTCACCCCTGGTGGAGCCAAGTAAACATCCTTAAAGACTCAAGCTCAACTCCTTCTTCTCTCTTTTTTCTTTTTATTCAAATAATTATTGAGTTTTAGTATTTTATAACAAAGAAAAATAAAATAAAATAAGTAGGGCTGCAACTAACGATTATTTTAAAAATCGATGAATCGGCCCATTATTTTTTCGATTAATCGATGAATCGGACAAAAAATATTTTTTATATTAACCTCTTTATTCCAAAATAAACATTTTAGACAGAACAAACAAGCACACAAGTACAGGTTGCTCATTAACTGTACTGGTGCAATATGAAAAATAAATGTTTGTGTTAAAACTACGCAAACTTACATGAGAAATGTAGCTGTACATCCACAAAATATAGGGTACTTTGTTTCATAAAGTGCAAAAAAAGACATTTTTGTTTTTAAAAGCCCCTAAGGGGTTCAAACAATAGGTCCCCCCATTCCAAAAGCCACCAGTGACACCGTAAAAAGTCGCCAGATTCGTCGCTAGTTGCTTTTTTGAAAAATAGTCGCTGGAGGGGTCTGAAAATTCGCTGAGTTGGCAACACTGCACCTGCGGCGCTGGCTCGCTGTGCCGTATTTTTTTTTTCTTCCCCCGTTTCAGTCAAGCGGATGTGATGACGGCAGTGGCGGATGACGCATTAATCGCGCGACACAACTAATCGATGATGAAATTCGTTGCCAACGCTTTTAAAAGTCGATTTTTATCGATTTTATCGATTCGTTGTTGCAGCCCTAAAAATAAGTTTTCCTTTGCTCTACTAAGCTCGTCTTTCAGACTTCTTACAGGATCTAAGAAACTTAATTAATTCCTACTATAAATAAAAAGAAAGCTGTCATATGTGGACGCACTGTATATACAGCATTTAACCCATGCACCTTTTTCTTCCTTTGGCACATTTTTCTTCTTGATGTATTGAGTAAATTTCTCCACTGTGAGATCAATAAAGTCGATCAATCATTCAGTTTCCTGACTGGAGATAAAGACAAGGGAAGGCAAGTGGCTGTTTTCTCGGAATGTATGAAAATTGAAACACACAGGCCCTTATTTTCATTATCTAAAGTAAGGCTGAAGCTATTAATCGGATTAATCAGTTATTGAAGTAATCCTAAACTAATTTAGTATTTGATTAATCATTAACCAAAGTATTAAGACTAGAACATGCCTTTAGCTGAGAGAACAACCCACTTGGAGCAGCAATTATACCACAATTGTAAATAAAAGATGTAAACGTTTTGCATTTAAGATAAAAAAATCTTTTTCATCTATCCTCAAGTGGAAAAGTTTTAGTTTTACCTGCTTTAATATCGCAAAAAGTCTTCTTTAAGGAACCATTTGATGTCGGAATTTTAATTGAAAAAAGAATAGACACATTTGCAATATAATCGTTAGTTGCAGCCCTAATCTGAAGGAATGTTCTCTTGTTTTTCATACTTTGAGGAGAAGTTAATAGAATGGGGCATGTGTGTCACATATTTATATAAAAAGGAAACAGGAAGTCACAGAGTAGAAAGAAATTAAAAGAAAACAAAAATGTTTCATTTAGTTTACCACCAAGGATGAGAATAAATATTGACAGAAATGTATTATTAAAGATCGTTAAGAACCTTCTACATGATAACTCTAAATCAATGGGATAGTTTCATTTATTATCCGCCACAGTGTTTGTCACGACAACCACAAGGCGCAGCTGCGTTTCTGCATTCCAATTAGATACAAAAAAAATGACTCACCTATGATGTATGAAATCATGATTCCCGGCACATAATGTCCAACCAAAGCGAGCGCAAAACAGCCACAGCACATCATCACGCAGAACTGGGAACCAGAAAACATGGGTTACAGCCGGCAGGTCGTTAGCATTAGCAGTTCTAGCTGCTTGGGATTCTTACCTTTCCATGGTTTCTGCGTTTGTACTGCAGCATCTCCTGAAGGTAGAGGCAGCATGTCAGGTAGCTTTCAGCGAGGTGGTGGCTGAGCTCAGGAACGCTGAGCAGATGGTGCTCTGTACTCAAACTTTCAATTTAATTGAGCAGAAAGAGAAAATTAATACTTAAAGCAGATAGGTTTGCCCTAACATGCAATATTTATGAAATGAGAGCATATAGACAGATAACACCTGAAAACACAGTATTTTTAAACAAGGAAAATGTGATTAGACAAAGTGGACAATTGTTAGATGCACACAGAACTATGCTGATGTTATTGTTTTAGGAAAAGAGCTTTATTTTAAGCAGACCTTTGTGAAGGTTCGGCCTCAGCATGTTGGACTGTCGGAGAAAAGAAGGATCATACAAAACATTAGCAATATGATGATTAACAGTACTTAAAGTTAATTCAGACAACTTCTGTTGTTTGCTTAAAAATGATCTATATCTCTTTCTCATATCTCTATCTATATATATATATATATATATATATATATATATATATATATATATATATATATATATATATAAGAATCAAGTTAATCTGATCTGTTTGATAAATTAAAATTTTTTATTCCATGATCTTTATAAATTCAAGTTCAAAATATGTCAGAAATTATTAACCATATCATAAATTAAATGCATACGATAAAGGCGTGAAAGAATTCCTGCACCAAAGATAATTTCGTGGCACTTTTTTTGAGTAAAACAAAACTTCAAACAGACTAGAGACAGAATCATTCATACGTTTTCTGTTAGATCTAAAACTGCAGCACATTTTTTTTCCCTCTTTCTTTTGAATGGAAATCATGTTTTTACCTAAAAACAAAAAACACACACACAGATTTTTGCATATTTTGGGACAAAACATGTTTTTAATATAAGCTAAGAATCATATTAAGAAATCTGATATGATTAGTTGATACGACGCCCTGTTTAAATGATTAATTAAAACCTATAAACATATGTAATATTAAAGGCAATTAAAATTCTGGAAAGATGGCAAAGCAGTGTTTCAAAACAAAACAATCTAAGCCTTAAAAAGAAAATGCAATTATTAAAAAAATAGAAGTTTAAATACTAAGCAACAATAAATTAAAAAACAATGGCAAAAAAAGGCAACCCACAATATCAATGCAGTGTATTAAAATGAAAAATGAAAGTTTTTTTAAAACTTGCCTTAAATCAGAAATCCTGGAGTTTAATTCAATATTAAGCTGAAGATTATTTCTAGCTGAATATTCATCTTCTTTTAAAAAAAATGAGGACTACAAGTGAGGTTTAAAACCAAAACACTACATAAAAAAGGTACATTGCTTATATATATGCTTAAAGCAGCACAGAAAAACTGTAGACTGTTAATAGGAAGCAGTAATTGCTACACATTTTTAATGGGATTTTTCTTTAAAACTGTTGATTCAACACACTAGAGAATTTACAAGAAGAGCGGACTCCTTTTTAGAGCTTTTTATTCCATTTACTGGTTGCTGGTATGATAAGTCTCTATGCTTTTCTAGCATATTCCCTCCACATTATCAGTTCAACACAATGTAATTTGATTTAATAACTTAGATTCAACCTATTATACTTCATTAACACAACTTTTTTTAATGCATGTTAAACGCTTAAACGCTCTATCTTTATCAGCTACTTTCTGATAACTTTTTCCCCCATTTTGTGCTTTTATTAAAAAAAATTCCACTTTGGATTTGGAAATTATTTAACTACAGTGACTTGAAGAGCATGTACATTGAAAAGGTAATGATTTTAATAATAATAATTGATTTTTATTGATTTCACATTGGAGAAATGTACCTCTGCATTGACCCATCCCCTTGGGGAGCAGTAAAAAAAATGTAAACTTTAGGGCCAAATTATTTTCCCTCATACATTAATCTCTATTATATATGCCTGCAGAAAAACCTAGGTATTTTAGTCTCCTAAAAGCTGCATCTAAGCCATCCTTTGCAAATAAATATTTGCATATGTGCAGTTCTAATTAGAACCTGCCCTGAAAGGCTGCCAGTAAACCCAGCTGCTCACCTGTAATGATGGGCAACTTGGGCTTCCATCTCTCCAGCAGCATCAGGCCCAGCAGGGAGACACTCAGTAGGAACAGGGGCCGCAGGGAGGTGGACGACAGAAGCCTGTGAGGGCCAAAAAAGGAGATCCGTCACATTATAACATGCATCTCTGGCTCACTGCAGTCAACGATTCACACACTGACAGCTTATTCATGTCTATCTGAGCTGAAAATAACTGCCTGTTTATTTACTCAACAATGAAACCACCTCCACTAAGCATGGCTAAAGCTAACTGTATTTAAATTACAAGCTAAGTTAGCATTAGGCTAAAGACGTGGGATTAGCTAACTTCACTTGACATTTATTCGCGCTACCTTCGTTGACATCAGATTAAAACGCATTTATAAGCCGCTTTGATGCCAAAAAACGTCATAATAAAGAAAGCTGGTCGGATACCAGAATAGGGTGTTGAGTGTGAGGGCGGCTGAGATGCTATAGAGCGGCCTCTCCCAGACCAGCAGCCTCTGCACCCACAGCAGCAGGGGCTCGTACTGCGATAGCCAAGCTTGGAGACGCTCCCGCAGGCGCTCAAGCTCCGGGTTCCCCTCCCCGGCCGCCTGCTCCGAAGTCCCGGAAGAGAAGAGGTCCTCCAGGCCGACCGAAGAGGAGGTGAGCAAGGGACGTTTTGTAGCCTCCTCTCCGCTCGCCATGTTTTCCTCCACTTTTGTTATGTTGTTTTGGAGATCACGGGGTATATGAGACAAGCTCTGTCAAGACACGTTCGAGGATCGCCACAGCTTCCGGTTGACCCTTTCAAAATAAAAGACAGCAGAACGGGAAAAAAATAAAATAAATCGGACAGGGGATATCAATCAGTGGCGGTTCTAGACCAAATGTAACAGGGGGTGAGGAGGGGACCAGAGTGTTTTCATGGGGGCACAGAAAAGCATGAAATAAAAAACAGGGAAAGAGATTCAAATGTATTAAGAGAGTGCATGAAATAACATTTCTATTAAATTAGGTTTAATAAAAATTATATTTCTTATGCGGTCAGTATACATTCATAATTTAGGATTTTTTTCATATTTTTTCACTTAATTTAAGTTAAAATTAAAATTTTCTATAAAATCTGAATTAGAACTCAGGAAAAACTGATATATTCAGATGTAAAAATTAGAGTAATTTTTGTATTTGTTTTGAAAACTAGATAGATAGATAGATAGATAGATAGATAGATAGATAGATAGATAGATAGATAGATAGATGTACTTTATTTATCCCAAGCTGGGAAATTGCAGTGTAGCAGCATCTTTACACATAGTGACAGTCACAACACAATAAGATAAGAAAAAAGTAGAAATAACATAACATCCACACGTATTTACATTATAAGGGTAATTTACATTATAAGGGTAATTTACATAATAAGGGTAATTTACATAATAATAAGGGTAATTTACATAATAAATGATGAAAACTGGGATCCTATCTCAATACCACTAAAGCTATCACCTTATTGTTTTTAAATAATGAGTAAAACATAATTTGTAAAGAAAAAAAAATTAAATAGATCCAAAGGACCCATCAGTAACCATGTCTGTTCCAGCGCATATCATCATTTAAAAATATTTCTTCAGTACAGGGGCAATAACAGGGGCCAGCACATGATCTAAAGGGGCACTGGCCCCCGTTGGCCCCCTGTCTAGAACCGCCCATGGTGGATATGGACTAATGTGTTAGGAATTATGGAATGAAAGTAAAATAAAAAACATAAATACACAAACAGATAATTTATTCCTTAATTTATTTTTCCCAGTTAATTACATGGTAATTGTTGCCGTGCAAATACACTTATTTCCAAATAATTAATCTAATAGATAAGTTTAAGGCAAAAAGAAGACTAGAGTGCACATGCAGGGAGATTCAAGGCTGAGATTTGAACCCACAACCTTTCTAAGCCACAGCAACTATCCTACCATTTGCTCATGTGTGGGGCAACAGTGACAGCTTGTACTTATACCCAGAGGAGTAGCCAGAAAATTTCTATAAGGGTGGCCAGGCAATAACCAATGTACACTCAGGGGTGGCCGAAAGTGGATAGGCACCAGAACCTCAGGGTCAATCTACACAGCTCCAACAGGAAAATTAACAAGCAAAACGTCCATATTGTCTAAATAAAGACAAACTATACTTTCCCACAGCCTTTGCTGACAAATAGACACATATATTTAAACATCCGTGGTTTCTAAATAAAAGGTAGAGTGGATAAAATTCTTTCAGTTTTGGAGCATAAATCTTTTCCATCGTCATTACTTACCTACTTGTATCAATAAACATTCTGCATAAATTTATATTTACAAATAGCCTACTAATATCTACATAAATTGTTTATTTGATAAGTTTTTATTCAAATTGTTACTATTTATCTATTTCACTGAAGACTCCCAGATGACTTGCAGAGACATCCTTTTCTCTTTACCCCATATAACACAAAATCTAGTTCTGAAAAGAGCAGGAATTCTGTATTTATCATCTTTGATGCTAGTATATTGATGTGTATAATTAACCACAAAAAATGTAAATGTTCCGAATATATAATCCACTGGAGAGTATTACTGCTGCCACCATCTGTATTAAAAGAAAAATAATGGTAGGGGTGGGATTGGCCAACCCTGGCCCCCCATCTAGCTCCGCCCCTGCTTATAGGCTAAACAGGCCATTTACAGTTTATTAAATATGATACACATTGTCATAAATGACATTGTACTATTATGTATGTTTAAAATTAACAATAAATCTAATTTTTATAAATATGCTAAAGAGCTATTTTCCTGTGAAGGATCTACACACTCCTTTTGTAGATCCTTATTATTCTAACTTGACGTCCTGAAAGGGGCCCACAGATGGGCGGAGACATCATAAGCACCATCACAAATAAGGGGGTAAAAATGGTCACGTGTTCCTTGTTTACTGTATTAATAGGGGGTGGGGGGGAGTTGGTGCAAAGTATGAGTATGTCACCATGTGGATAAGGATCCTGCTGGTTGCATATAGCTGTTTATTACATAGTAATGAATGTGCATGTCAAGAGGCAGGATCAATAAAACACATCTGCATCAGTTCACATGGATTTATTACGATCCCAGTAGATTATGCTGAGTAAACATATTGATCAAGGTGTGCAAACGGAGTCTGTGTGGATTGGATATCTCAGGAGCTAACGGTTACGTCATGAGAGTCTTCTTCCTGGATGTGAAAACACTCAGGTTGTGGATTGCCATCATTACTGTTACAGTAAATGGCACAGTCAGAAAATCTGTCCTTTCATCATCTCTCCTTTCATTTTCTGAAAAATACAAATTACAAACATTGCAAATGAACATACAATAAATATCAAAAACATTAGAGCCTTTTTCACATTTTCCTCATGTTACAAACACAAATTTCCTTTTATTTTATTCTTAAATGTGGCAGACCGAAACAAAGTAGAGTGTAATTGTGAATTTTATAGAAAGTGATACTTGGTTTTAACAAGCAGAAACCTAAAAAATGAGGCGCCCAGTTTAAAAAAACAAACATTCCCCTAAATAAAATTCAATGCAACTGTTTTCCTTTAGGATAAAAAAAGGATCAACAAGTTGCCTAAGAGCCGCTATAGAGGTGAGTTTCTATTCTTTTCACACATCTAGTGACTTATGATTTATGGCCACACCTCTTTGCAGAATTGCCATAAATCGGCAGTTTCAATTAAAGCACAACTATCACATAAAGGGTGTTTGTAAACAGTAGTGCTTTAAGTGATAACGAATCTATTTTTATACCTCTATTAATGCATACAAATATCCAATAGAAGCATATACAGATTTATCTATTGATATATTGTTTTTTTTGTGATAAATCCAACAACAGATTTCAATAAGCTCATTATGGTTCCATTCAGTGAAATTTATTTATTCTCAGTATGGCCTGGCCTCAACAAACCTATGTCTCTTTAGCCCTACTATTCTACCCAGAGGCAGCGCTTTGCTCACTCGCATTACACATCACAGTTTCCAGGGCCCCAAGTACCTGTGAGGCACTGAAAACATTGGGCTTGGAAAAAAATCCTAATTATAGAAATCAAAATAAGGACAAATTTACAACAAAATATGTAAAGATATTATTAGATGCAATGCAAAAAAAAAAAAAAAAGAAACAAAAAAAAACAACACAATGTTGCAATTAATCCCTTTTCTTTTTTGATTTCTCATTTTAAAACCCTCTTAATCTCGTAATTTTTCCCCACAATTAGTAAAAAAAAAAGGTAATCTTGTGTAGAAGTATATGCTCCATTGTTGAGGCAAATTTTTTTTAATGTTTTTTCACGACTTTAATTTCTCCTTTAATTTATTACAGCTGTTTTTAATTGTTAATATTGAGAAGTTTGGAAATAAATACAAACGAAATGGCAAATTTAGCAATATTGTTTATTTTCAGGTAGGGGGCCTCACACAGTAGTTGTGCTCATGGCTCCTCAAATGGCTAGCACCGCCCCAGATGTCATTTTATATCTGATTGTCACAGCTGTTCATGCAGCATCAGCCTTTCCAGGTGGATGCATGAGTGTTAGCTTGCATCAGAGCACCGTTTCCTTGTAAAGGACTGTTCAGAGCTCTGCTATTATCATTCAGCCAGGCATGCACCACGCTGTGATTATAGTTCTCTGCATTTCCTCACTCATCTGAAACTCCTACAGCCCCATGCATGTACAGAAAGTGTGTTGCATCGAGCCAATGGGATTCTCCCAACACAATTTTCTTGTCAACAAATATGCTACTTAAAAAGGTAGGTGTTGCACACTGGAAAAAAAAAGTGGCAGTACACTGAGGGGTAACAACTTTTGTTTTTGCATATGATGAAATAATTATTACTGTTATTATTTTTTGGTCTTACCTGACCAGAAGATTGCTGCTATATTGTTTCATAAGCCTAAACATCTGCCGATCGCTCTCCCTGAATGGCTCTGTGTTCCTTGGTCTTAATGATGCGTTTTGTTTACATGTCATCTAACAAGCCCTTAAGAACCCCACAAAGCAGCTGGATTTATACCAAAAAGCGATAGAGAAGTTCTAAAGGAATCTGGTTGCACTGGACTTTATTTAGGGGTAAAAGAGAGATGGAAAAAAAACGTACACCATGGTACTGAGAACTAGACAAGATGTTGAAGGGTTGTTGGGGATAGAAAAGCTTAAGAGCCTACCTGCCTCGGTACAATGCCAGGCCTCAGGCCTGCACAGGCAGTAAGCAGAGGAGAGAAAACGCTGTTGTTTACTCCTAAGACAGAAGAGCATCGATACCTGCAGGCGTGAGGACCAAAGCCTGCAGCAGGTCAGATAGAGAGACAATGCCCTTCACAACGTCAAACCTGTCCACCAGGACCAGCCGGTGGACCTGCAAGAAAAAAATATGTGTTTTTTATTCTTCACCTGACTTCCTGATTTGATTGCAAAACAAAAAAACACCCCACCTACCTCAGATTTAACTATTCGATCTATGACCATTTCTAAAGATTCCTCTGGAAAGCACTTGATCACACCCTCAACACAACATGTGCGTCTGTGAATGGCTTCCTGCATCGTCATGTCCAGGTTGTTATAGGTCTTCTGGGCTGCAAGATTCTGTTGTGAAAAAAAAGAAAAGCTAAATCCCTCAGAAAGTCAGCAGCTGAGTCATGTGGGAAACAACAAAGCCTTAAATCAGAGGATTTCTGCTGTACTCACGATGACATCAAATCTTGAGTAGAGTG